CACTGGTGTTGGCCGTGAGCGGGAATCGAACTCGGGTCGCCAGGTTCATAGCGCAGCGCGCTAACCGCTACACTACCGCCTCCCACACACATACACACAGACACCCACACACACCTACACACAGACACACACAGACACACACACACCCCTACACACAGACACACACACCTACACACAGACACACACACCGACACACACACCTACACACAGACACACACCTACACACAGACACACACACCGACACACACACACCTACACACACAGAGACGTTCACACCGACGACACACGGGACGCTGGCGTTGCGCGGCGATGCTCTCTGTCGGCTCAGAGTCGCCGTCAATCTGCCCGGGGACTCCGGCAGAACGGCGAGGGGCGAGGTTGACGTCGGACGATCGCAACGGCGAAGTTCGTGGCGGTGCCATCACCGCTGCAGCGAGCCGAGACCGCGAGATGGATGTTACTGTACGTTGAACTTCTTTTGCGCTGTACGTCGCCAAGCGTGCTCATCGGAGATGCCGGGGGGGGGGGGGTAAACGACAGCAAACCATACTTTTTGGGTTTTTTCGGTAAGTCACGAAGGTAAAAAACTAAATAAATAAAATGAAAATAACGAAATTAAATCACGACGTTTTGGAAGCAATACAAGCCTTCGTCTTCATGTGGAACCGCCACAGCTAAATTGCTGTCGTGAATAATGAGAGCAAACCAACCACAAAAACAGCGATAAAGAAATAAATGTTCAATGTAGATGTTTTAAAATGCACAGATGCATTGGCTTCCCAATAGCGGAATGAGGAAGAGCGTTCCAGACGGCCGCAGGAGCGCGTCTGGTTCATTCGAGGCAAGCACTTTGTGCGACGATGACGACAATAACTGAAACGAAACTGGACCACCACTACTCTTTGGTTCTTTCGGTAAAGTCACGTGGGTAGAAAATAAATAAAATCACGACGTTTCGATTGCAACACAAGCAATCATCATCAGGTGGGAAGACCACAGCAAGAAAATGTTCTTGAGTAGTGGTGTTCCAGTTTCGTTTGAGGTATTGTCGTCATCGTCGTAATAAACCACAGCAAGACAAACGTTCTTGCTGTGGTTTTCCCACCTGATGATGATTGCTTGTGTTGCAATCGAAACGTCGTGATTTGATTTATTTTATTTTCTACCCACGTGACTTTACCGAAAGAACCAAAGAGTAGTGGTGGTCCAGTTTCGTTTGAGTTATTGTCGTCATCGTCGCACAAAGTGCTTGCCACGAATGAACCAAAATACCTCGCTGATCTCGTCAAGGAGAAGAACCCCTGCAGTCACGAAAACTTCAAATCGAGATTGGACCACCACTCTTGAAGCCCAGCGGTGGGGATGTCGGTGCGTCATTCCGGCGCTTCTCGGAATGCCTTCCAACTCCAGCACCGCGGCCGTTTCCGAGAAGGGAAACGTCCGCGGTCGTGGGGACTCCCTGAGGTCAATTCAGCCTTCAAACGAGTACCTGGTGCGGTGCGTAGTGAACATCGCCGCGAGGGAGACCGCGGCGGCCCGGCGTGGTGCTGGCCACCCACCTCGCTCGTGTTGCCGTGCCGGCCTTCACGGGTGCCGCTCGATAACCGCACTTGCCCCAACAGTCTGCTCAGGCTATACGGGGGATCTTTGTCTTTGTTGTGGGCAGCTGTGTTAGAGCGCTGCGCTACGAACCCGGCAACACGAGTTTGATTCCCGCTAAAGACAAAACATCGGTGACGATTATCTGAGCCGGTCGTGGGCCTCCTCTAGGTCGACTCAGCCTTAAAATCAAAGCCTTGCGCGGTGTGTATACATCAACACTGGGGCGAAAAATGTGGATGGGTGTGGCGCTCACCACCCCAGCCCATCGTGCTGCGTGCCGGCCTTCATAGGCGCTACTCGCTGGCAATGCCGCGTTCCGTCAAATCACTGTTGGATGATAACCTCCCCAAGTGTGTGGGTCATGGGAGTACATTTGACCATACTTCGCCACGCGGGTCGTTGAATGAATAGGTCGAGGGTTCACAGGACCGGTTCAGGCATCACTCGCCACTGATGTTAGCCGTGCCTGGGAATCGAACTTTGGCAGCCAGGCTCACCGCTCCGTACCAGGCTGGCGTTTACGATACCGTAGAGGCGAGGGTTGATGGATCACACACAGAGCGATGTTGGGTGAAATTCGCTTCACGTGGGCGTTGATGAGGTGCCATACCCTGGATCACCAGAAGGCAGTACAGCAAATGGACTAATCTGTAATGTCGCCATGTGTTTCCATCTGTGCGGGGATAGAGCGTTGCACCCTCGCGCAAAGCGTGCATGGCGTATTCTCCGGATGCTCCGGTTTTCCTCCCATACACTCGTCATTCATTGGCTGACAACGTATTTCATATAAATACCCAAATGTGGCAGCGGCATCACCTGAAAAGGAGTCCCGCGACTCGGCTTGGCTGTCCCGGGTAGATGGGTAAACAGGTGAGCAGGTAAACAGGTGAGCAGGTAAACAGGTGAGCAGGTAAACAGGTGAGCAGGTGAACAGGTGAGCAGGTAAACAGGTGAGCAGGTAAACAGGTGAGCAGGTGAGCAGGTAAACAGGTGAGCAGGTGAGCAGGTAAACAGGTGAGCAGGTGAACAGGTGAGCAGGTAAACAGGTGAGCAGGTAAACAGGTGAGCAGGTGAACAGGTGAGCAGGTAAACAGGTGAGCAGGTAAACAGGTGAGCAGATAAACAGGTGAGCAGGTGAGCAGGTAAACAGGTGAGCAGGTAAACAGGTGAGCAGGTGTGCAGGTGAGCAGGTAAACAGGTGAGCAGGTGAGCAGGTAAACAGGTGAGCAGGTGAACAGGTGAGCAGGTGAACAGGTGAGCAGGTGAGCAGGTAAACAGGTAAACAGGTGAGCAGGTGAGCAGGTAAACAGGTGAACAGGTGAGCAGGTAAACAGATGAACAGGTGAGCAGGTGAAGTGTCACGCAGGGCCGGCAGTCGGCGCACGGTGGTGACTTCGGTCTGGGTCGGGCCGGGTTCAGCAGGAGGAGGAGGAAATGACGCCGGGTGGCGAATTTCCTCGTTCATTGTTGACATGGTAGCAGGTAAAGCCTGCCGAGCCGTGAGTTCTTGTTCAGAGGCGACCTTGCCACACGTGACGATGGCTCATTGTCGCAGTGACTGATAATATCATCATCATCATCACTACACGTGGGAATGTATAGACTCAGCCGCGTCATCTTAACGCGTGTTGATTTCAAATGTGGAAGAGGAGGAGGAGGGTAAAACACGAAGGAATAACCCGGGGGAAGAGCCACGCTCCGACCGCCGCGGGAGAGAGAGAGAACACGCGGCCGTACAGTCAGCGGCAGCGGCAGCAACGATTCGAGGTGGTCATTAGCCTCGGGTCATAGTCATGGGTCAGAGCCTAGAGTCGAGACAAAAAAAAACGTGATTTCAAAATGCACGTCTACATTGCCAAACGCCTCGCCGCTGGCGCAGAGGGAGATCTGTCGACGCGGATCTGGCCACATCGCCCTCGAACGGCCACGAGTCGACGCGTGGAGGAAGTGCGGCGACTCTCGCGACTCTGACGCGCCTCGAAGCACGGAGCCTCGCTCGAGTCTGTGGGCTTCTGTCGGGGACCGCGCCAGGGCTACAGGCCGGGCCACTTCACCATCACGGGCCATGGTCTATCCACTGCTGGCCACACCATCATCATCATCACGTGCCCGATAGTGGATACGCACGTGACTGTGGTAGCAACTCACGAGAAGAGGATTGAGAGGCCTGCCGATGGAGGATTGGGGCCCTGGTACCGTGGCTTGGTGGCCCAGTCCCGACTCACCACCCCCATCTCCGTTGGTTGATGTGGGAGCTCTGCCCAGGCCCGGATGGTGCAGCCAGTGCTGTTGGCGCACAGTTTTAGAGAGAAGAAAATTGCCGGGGGGGAGGCGAGATTGAAAATGTATGTTTTCGTAAACGAAACGGGGTGGCCTCGATATCAACAGCAAAATCACACGGCCACGCGCTGATATTCACTCAGCAAACTATCAAGTAACATTAAACTATACTATTTGGTTATACTGGTAGGAACCTCCTGGTTACACCAGCCCATAGGGGATTATTGTGTCCGTCCGTCCGTTCGTCGTGCATCCAAAAATGTGAGGGGTGGGGCTTGGTGGAGAGGGGAAGGTGGGGAGGGACTGGGTGGGGAGGGTGGGGCTGGGTGGGGGGTGGGAGGGGTGGGGCTGGGTGGAGAGGGGCTGGTCACCCCGTGGTGTCCTTATAAAACTCAACTTTTAACCTACTCACGCCGGCTTGTGCCCGCCCTCACAGTCGGCCATATTTGCGGAATACACCACGCCGCCGTTGACCCTGGCCAGTGACATAGCAACCCAACGTTCCTACCAGCTCCCTCCGCAGGAATGTGTTTTCGGTAAAGTCACGTAGGTAGAAAAAGAATAGATCACGACGTTTCGATCGCAACACAAGCAATCGTCATCAGGTGGGACAACCACAGCAAGAAAAAATGCTAAACTAAACAATTTTAAACTTAATTTGGAGCTTTCGTGACTGCAGGAATTATTCTTTGGTTCTTTCGGTAAAGTCACGTATAAAGTTAAAATAATAAATTAAATTAAATACTAGCATACGACGTTTCGATTGCAACACAAACAATCATCATCAGGTATAAATTAAATAGAAACACAAATCTAGTATACTTAGAAATGTAATGTAATACAACAGAGAGTCGGATAACATAACAGTCAACACCCTATCTGGTTGATTACGTTCTTCCTGAGAATTTGAGAGAGAGATTAAACACAGAACCAGAAACATAGACAGACATATAAGCAGACAGATATCACTATCAGGCGCTTGTTGCTGGGAAATCACAGCACTGCCTTCCCGTTGTAGCCCCTACATCCAGCCATTGATGTATTTGTCACATCTATGCCAGAAGCTGCATTATCCGCTCGCTTGCTGCGTCTGCTGCCCTCTTGCCAAGGGTTGGCAGTCTCCCAGGGGCTGCCATGGCGTCGCACGGACACTGGGCCCTCCTCGGGGGCCGCCTCTTCCCCCGAGGTGGCCGCCTTCCTCTCGGGGAGCGACTCCCTCGAGGACATCACGGACCTCGTCAAGGTCAATCCCGTCACCACGGACACCGGTAAGTGCCCTCGTGGTCAGGATGCCTCGTCAAGGCCCGCCCACTTTTACATAACCACGCCCACACACACACTGGCCCCGCCCACTACTCAAGTAGCCCCGCCCACACACCAACTGGCCCCGCCCACTACTCAAGTAGCCCCGCCCACTGCCAAAGTAGCCACGCCCACTCACCCACTAGCCCTGCCCACTGCTCAAGTAGCCCCGCCCACTGCTCAGGTAGCCACGCCCACACACCCACTGGCCCCGCCCACTGCCAAAGTAGCCACGCCCACTCACCCACTAGCCCTGCCCACTGCTCAAGTAGCCCCGCCCACTGCTCAGGTAGCCACGCCCACTGCTCAAGTAGCCCCGCCCACTGCTCAGGTAGCCACGCCCACTCACCCACTAGCCCCGCCCACTGCTCAAGTAGCCCAGCCCACTGCTCAGGTAGTCACGCCCACTGCTCAAGTAGCCCCGTCCACTACTCAAGTAGCCCCGCCCACTACTCAGGTAGCCCCGCCCACTCACCCACTGGCCCCGCCCACTGCTCAAGTAGCCCCGCCCACTACTCGGGCCGTTTCCGGTGGCTTGTCATCCTCACCTCTCTGGATCTCGTCCCTGGACCCCATGACCTAATTTCTGACCCTTGACCTTCACACTCTCGTCAGAGGAGCTCAGCAGCAGGAGCACCAGCACCGCCCGATGCGCGTGTGCGAGCGCCGGGACTCCGCACGCGGTCTGACTAGACATGGGCTTGCGCACAGAGCTTCTTAGCTCATCGGATTCGTCCAGTATCAATACACATCGTGATTGCCGGTGTCGAGCGCTGGGACGACTCACCCACCCCGACGATTGCGTTCACTGTCACGATTTGGTCACTCCCCCCCCACCCCCTGACCGCCCCCCCCCCGGCAGTGCTGCGCTGCCTGTGCTTGCGCTACGAGCGAGGAGCGTTCTACACGCGCGCGGGCTGCACCCTGGTGGCGCTGAACCCCTTCCAGGCGGTGCCGCTCCTCTACGCCAGCCCCACCGTGCACGCCTACCACACCTGCCCTCGCCTGCAGGTACCCACGCACACACCCTGCGGGGGGGGGGGGGGTCGTGGGACCTGGCACGGAGTTTGTAGGCGCTGGTGGTGTCTGGTAGCGGCGACACGAAGCTAAATTTAGACGTAAAAATGTCGTGACTGCAGGAATTCATATTTTTGGTTCTTTCGGTAAAGTCACGTAGATGGACAAGATAAATCTGAATTAAAGCAAAAAACCCACGACGTTTGGACTGCAACCCATGACTCTCAATTATTTAGATGTCATATTCTTAGGTTATTTTTTTTCGGTAAAGTCACGTAGGTAAAAAATTAAAATTAATAAAAGTAAAATTAAAATAAAATAAAAATCACGACGTTTCGGAGGCAACACAAGTTTCCGTCTTCAAGTGGAACCGTCACAGCACGATAGCTGTATCAAGTGAGAGAAATTCCAAGAAAACAGTCCTTGTATATATACTGGTTGAGGGTGGGAGGAGCCAAGGTAGGCCCTGAATATTATTATTGTGAGGTTCGGTGCGGCTGAAGCACCACGCTGTTAGGATTGAGCCTTTGTTGTGTAAACTAGGTGCGGATGATGTAAAGGTGCGTGTAAAAGGGACTGAGCCTTTTTGTTATGTAGAGATGATGCGGCTTAAATCGCTGCCAGGAAATGAGTCTTTGTTGTGCAGAATGGTTGACTGAGCCTATTGTTATGTAGAGGTGGTGCGGCTGAAATCGCTGCCAGGAATGCTCCAAATATGTGTAGTTAAATCTTTTTGCATGGTTAATCTAGAAATATTTAGATGTCACCAGGGAAGGCGCCACTGAGCTGCGTAGTTCCTTTTTTTTTCAGAAGCGTCCTGGTCCCACAAATGATAGCTGCTCGACGGAGTGCGCTTATCACCACGTGGACATTTAGAGCAGCAGCCACATCCTCTGAGCGCGTGGTGATGTTCATTCTAAATGTGGAGGGAAAAAACCCGGAGGACCCAGAGACAAATCCACGCGACCACGGAGAGAGAGACACGCAGACTCCACATATACAGCAAGCGTCAGGGTTGGAACCGAACCCACTACCTCCTGTAGACCAGGCGAGGTAGTTAATATCTCCTAGCCACCGTGATGATGATGAGAGAGAGAGACACGCAAACTCCAAATATACAGCAGCAGGCGTCAGGGTCGGGATCGAACCCACGAACTCCTGTAGACCAGGCGAGGTAGTTAACACCTCCTAGCCACCGTGATGATAATGAGAGAGAGAGAGAGACACGCAAACTCCAAATATACAGCAGCAGGCATCAGAGTCGGAATCGAACCCAACAGCTGCTGTAGACCAGGCGAGGTACGAAGTGGCACTAGTGAGGGGTCTGTGAGTGCACGCATGTGCCTCTTCATTATTCACGAGTATTCGTTCGTACGCGTGTGTTTACTATTCATGATTACACACCTGCGTGTTTAATATTCATGAGTAACCCTGAGTATGTGGGATCGAGTAGTGGCACTGTGGTTAGCACACCACGCGATAAACTCAGTCATCATCATCAGCAGCCTGATTTACGCGATCTCACCCAAAATCCTCGATTATGGATAACATTGGTCGCGAAAACCTACTACTGCGTGTTAAACTGATTGTCGGCCCCCACCCACAACATCAACCCGCATTGACCAGTATGGTGAAGTATGGTCAAACATGCCCCGTGACCGACACGGCGCGGGCTAGGCCCTGGATCGAGAATCTTTATTCATCCCGGTGGAATCCGATGAGCTATGAAGCTCTTTTTAACCACAGATGTTCAGTGGGGGGGGGGGGGGGGGGTCAGCGAGGCGCTGTCACCGAGAGTCGCTACGGGCGAGCGGCGCCACGATTCGTCAGTTTGCGTGAACATTCACCAACGAAGCGGCGCAAGCAATAACACAGTGACAGAAAGCGCCCCCCGCACGACGTTAAGCAAATTTTAAAAGTACACAGAGCCAAGCGTCGACCCGAGAGAGTGCTTCCGCAAGCCGTGTCCGAGATTCCACCGTGGAGTTGAGTCCCATTCGCCATTCCCGTGACGGCTCGCGGGCTCTACCCGCTGCTGAGTGAGAGTCTGCGGGCTCTACTCGCTACTGCTGCTGAGTGAGAGTCTGCGGGCTCTACTCGCTACTGCTGCTGAGTGAGAGTCTGAGGGCTCTACTCGCTACTGCTGCTGAGTGAGAGTCTGAGGGCTCTACCCGCTACTGAGTGAGAGTCTGCGGGCTCTACTCGCTACTGCTGCTGAGTGAGAGTCTGTGGGCTCTACTCGTTACTGCTGCTGAGTGAGAGCCGTCGGCGTGCTGCCCCCGCAGGAGCTGGGGCCGCACCTGTTTGCCGTGGCCGAGCTGGCGTTCCGCAGCGCCACCAGCGGGCCCGACCCCAGGGACCAGTCCGTGGTGGTCAGCGGGGAGAGCGGCGCTGGCAAGGTGCCGCACGCCGCCGTCACCACGCGCAGACGCACAGGCACCGGGAAACGGCACAACCGCACAACTTCCCAGCCGCACAGGCACACGGCTGGGAAGGCACACAACTACAGATCACAAGAAATGGGAAACCGCACAACCACACAGCCAAACAACTGGGAAACCACGCAACCACATAACCACACAACTGGGAAACCACATAACCATACAACTAGGAAACCACACAACTCGAGAACCAGATAACCACAGACCACACAACCGGGAAACCACACAACCACACAACTGGGAAACCACATAACCGCCACCACTTTGACCTCAGCAACTATCACGTGACCCAACCGCTACCCAATTACCACCCTCTCCACCATCACACTACCAGTATTTCACCACCAAACCCAGCACCACCACCACCTGAGCACTCGAGTGAGATGGGAGGAGAGAGGAAGGAGGCGAGATCGTTGCGGGCAGGGATCAGCAACGAGAATAACAAGAACAGACATTTGTTTCTAATTCGGTAAAAAAGAAGCGGTATTTAAAGAGCTGCAATGCACTGTGGTGAACACGAGACGGTGGTCCTGAATAAAAACTTTTTTCACAAAACAGTCCCTAATGAGCCGCAGGCTGCCGACCCCTTCCCATAGTAAACTAGACGCCCATGGTAAACTAGACTTCCATGGTAAACTGAACTTCCATGGTAAACTGGACTTCCATGGTAAATTCGACTTCCATGGTAAACTGGACTTCCATGGTAAATTCGACTTCCATTGTAAACTGAACTTCCATGGTAAACTGGACTTCCATGGTAAATTCGACTTCCATGGTAAACTGAACTTCCATGGTGAACTGGACTTCCATGGTAAATTCGACTTCCATGGTAAACTGGACTTCCATGGTAAATTCGACTTCCATTGTAAACTGAACTTCCATGGTAAACTGGACTTCCATGGTAAATTCGACTTCCATGGTAAACTGAACTTCCATGGTGAACTGGACTTCCATGGTAAACTGAACTTCCATGGTAAACTGGACTTCCATGGTAAATTCGACTTCCATTGTAAACTGAACTTCCATGGTAAACTGGACTTCCATGGTAAATTCGACTTCCATGGTAAACTGAACTTCCATGGTGAACTGGACTTCCATGGTAAACTGAACTTCCATGGTAAACTGGACTTCCATGGTAAATTCGACTTCCATGGTAAACTGAACTTCCATGGTAAACTGGACTTCCATGGTAAACTGACCTTCCATGGTAAATTCGACTTCCATGGTAAACTATACTTCCATGGTAAAATGAACTTCCATGGTAAACTGAACTTCCATGGTAAACTGAACTTCCATGGTAAACTAGACTTCCATGGTAAACTGAACTTCCATGGTAAATTAGACTTCCATGGTAAACTGGACTTCCATGGTAAATTTGACTTCCATGGTAAACTGAACTTTCACGGTGAACTGGACTTCCATGGTAAATTCGACTTCCATGGTAAACTGAACTTCCATGGTGAACTGGACTTCCACGGTAAACTGAACTTCCATGGTAAACTGGACTTCCATGGTAAATTGAACTTCCATGGTAAACTGAACTTCCATGGTAAACTAGACTCCCATGGTAAACTGGACTTCCATGGTAAACTGAACTTCCATGGTAAATTCGACTTCCATGGTAAACTGGACTTCCATGGTAAACTAGACTCCGATGGTAAACTGAACTTCCATGGTAAACTGGACTTCCATGGTGAACTGGACTTCCATGGTAAACTGGGCTTCCATGGTAAACTGATCTTCCATGGTAAACTGGACTTCCATGGTAAATTTGACTTCCATGGTAAACTGAACTTCCATGGTGAACTGGACTTCCATGGTGAACTGGACTTCCATGGTAAACTGAACTTTCATGGTAAACTGGACTTCCATGGTAAATTCGACTTCCATGGTAAACTGAACTTCCACGGTGAACTGGACTTCCACGGTAAACTGAACTTCCATGGTAAACTGGACTTCCATGGTAAACTGAACTTCCATGGTGAACTGGACTTCCATGGTAAATTGAACTTCCATGGTAAACTGAACTTCCATGGTAAACTAGACTCCCATGGTAAACTGGACTTCCATGGTAAACTGAACTTCCATGGTAAATTCGACTTCCATGGTAAACTGAACTTCCATGGTAAACTGAACTTCCATAGTTAACTGGACTTCCATGGTGAACTGGACTTCCATGGTAAACTGAACTTCCATGGTAAACTAGACTCCCATGGTAAACTGAACTTCCATGGTAAACTAGACTCCCATGGTAAACTGGACTTCCATGTAAAATTCGACTTCCATGGTGAACTGAACTTCCATGGTAAACTGGACTTCTATGTTAAACGGAAATTCCATGGTAAACTAGACTTCCATGGTAAATTCGACTTCCATGGTAAACTGAACTTCCATGGTGAACTGGACTTCCATGGTAAACTGAACTTCCATGGTAAACTAGACTCCCATGGTAAACTGGACTTCCATGGTAAACTGAACTCCCATGGTAAACTAGACTTCCATGGTAAACTGAACTTCCATGGTAAATTAGACTTCCATGGTAAACTAAACTTCCATGGTAAACTAGACTCCCATAGTAAACTGAACTTCTATGGTAAACTAGACTCCCATGGTAAACTGGACTTCCATGGTGAACTGAACTCCCATGGTAAACTAGACTCCCATGGTAAACTGGACTTCCATGGTGAACTGGACTTCCATGGTAAACTGGACTTCCATGGTAAACTGAACTTCCATGGTAAATTCGACTTCCATGGTAAACTGAACTTCCATGGTAAACTAGACTCCCATGGTAAACTGGACTTCCATGGTAAACTGAACTCCCATGGTAAACTGAACTTCCATGGTAAATTCGACTTCCATGGTAAACTGAACTCCCATGGTAAACTGAACTTCCATGGTAAACTGGACTTCCATGGTGAACTGAACTTCCATGGTAAACTGAACTTCCATGGTAAACTGGACTTCCATGGTAAACTGGACTTCTATGTTAAACGGAAATTCCATGGTAAACTAGACTTCCATGGTAAATTCGACTTCCATGGTAAACTGAACTTCCATGGTGAACTGGACTTCCATGGTAAACTGAACTTCCATGGTAAACTAGACTCCCATGGTAAACTGGACTTCCATGGTAAACTGAACTCCCATGGTAAACTAGACTTCCATGGTAAACTGAACTTCCATGGTAAATTAGACTTCCATGGTAAACTAAACTTCCATGGTAAACTAGACTCCCATAGTAAACTGAACTTCTATGGTAAACTAGACTCCCATGGTAAACTGGACTTCCATGGTGAACTGAACTCCCATGGTAAACTAGACTCCCATGGTAAACTGGACTTCCATGGTGAACTGGACTTCCATGGTAAACTGGACTTCCATGGTAAATTCGACTTTCATGGTAAACTGGACGTCTATGGTAAATTCGACTTCCATGGTAAATTCGACTTCCATTGTAAACTGAACTTCCATGGTAAACTGGACTTCCATGGAAAATTCGACTTCCATGGTAAACTGAACTTCCATGGTAAACTGGACTTCCATGGTAAATTCGACTTCCATGGTAAACTGGACTTCCATGGTAAATTCGACTTCCATGGTAAACTGAACTTCCATGGTAAACTGGACTTCCATGGTAAACTGACCTTCCATGGTAAATTCGACTTCCATGGTAAACTATACTTCCATGGTAAACTGGACTTCCATGGTAAATTCGACTTCCATGGTAAACTGAACTTCCATGGTAAACTGGACTTCCATGGTAAACTGACCTTCCATGGTAAATTCGACTTCCATGGTAAACTATACTTCCATGGTAAACTGGACTTCCATGGTAAATTCGACTTCCATGGTAAACTGAACTTCCATGGTAAATTGAACTTCCATGGTAAACTGAACTTCCATGGTAAACTAGACTCCCATGGTAAACTGGACTTCCATGGTAAACTGAACTTCCATGGTAAATTCGACTTCCATGGTAAACTGGACTTCCATGGTAAACTAGACTCCGATGGTAAACTGAACTTCCATGGTAAACTGGACTTCCATGGTGAACTGGACTTCCATGGTAAACTGGGCTTCCATGGTAAACTGATCTTCCATGGTAAACTGGACTTCCATGGTAAATTTGACTTCCATGGTAAACTGAACTTCCATGGTGAACTGGACTTCCATGGTAAACTGAACTTTCATGGTAAACTGGACTTCCATGGTAAATTCGACTTCCATGGTAAACTGAACTTCCATGGTGAACTGAACTTCCACGGTAAACTGAACTTCCATGGTAAACTGGACTTCCATGGTAAACTGAACTTCCATGGTGAACTGGACTTCCATGGTAAATTGAACTTCCATGGTAAACTGAACTTCCATGGTAAACTAGACTCCCATGGTAAACTGGACTTCCATGGTAAACTGAACTTCCATGGTGAACTGGACTTCCATGGTAAACTGAACTTCCATGGTAAACTGAACTTCCATAGTTAACTGGACTTCCATGGTGAACTGGACTTCCATGGTAAACTGAACTTCCATGGTAAACTAGACTCCCATGGTAAACTGAACTTCCATGGTAAACTAGACTCCCATGGTAAACTGGACTTCCATGGTAAACTGAACTCCCATGGTAAACTGGACTTCCATGTTAAATTCGACTTCCATGGTGAACTGAACTTCCATGGTAAACTGGACTTCCATGGTAAACGGAAATTCCATGGTAAACTAGACTTCCATGGTAAATTCGACTTCCATGGTAATCTGAACTTCCATGGTGAACTGGACTTCCATGGTAAACTGAACTTCCATGGTAAACTAGACTCCCATGGTAAACTGGACTTCCATGGTAAACTGAACTCCCATGGTAAATTAGACTTCCATGGTAAACTAAACTTCCATGGTAAACTAGACTCTCATAGTAAACTGAACTTCTATGGTAAACTAGACTCCGATGGTAAACTGGACTTCCATGGTGAACTGAACTCCCACGGTAAACTAGACTCGCATGGTAAATTGGACTTCCATGGTGAACTGGACTTCCATGGTAAACTGGACTTCCATGGTAAATTCGACTTTCATGGTAAATTCGACTTCCATGGTAAACTGAACTTTCATGGTAAACTGGACTTCCATGGTAAATTCGACTTCCATGGTAAACTGAACTTCCATGGTAAACTAGACTCCCATGGTAAACTAGACTTCCATGGTAAACTGAACTTCCATGGTAAATTAGACTTCCATGGTAAACTAAACTTCCATGGTAAACTAGACTCCCATAGTAAACTGAACTTCTATGGTAAACTAGACTCCCATGGTAAACTGGACTTCCATGGTGAACTGAACTCCCACGGTAAACTAGACTCCCATGGTAAACTGGACTTCCATGGTGAACTGGACTTCCATGGTAAACTGGACTTCCATGGTAAATTCGACTTTCATGGTAAATTCGACTTCCATGGTAAACTGAACTTTCATGGTAAACTGGACTTCCATGGTAAATTCGACTTCCATGGTAAACTGAACTTCCATGGTGAACTGGACTTCCATGGTAAATTCGACTTCCATGGTAAACTGAACATCCATGGTGAACTGGACGTCCATGGTAAACTGAACTTCCATGGTAAATTCGACTTCCATGGTAAACTGAACTTCGATCGTGAACTGGACTTCCATGGTAAACTGAACTTCCATGGTAAACTGGACTTCCATGGTAAATTCGACTTCCATGGTAAACTGAACTTCCATGGTGAACTGGACTTCCATGGTAAACTGGACTTCCATGGTAAACTGAACTTCCATGGTAAACTGGACTTCCATGGTAAACTGAACTTCCATCGTGAACTGGACTTCCATGGTAAACTGGACTTCCATGGTAAATTCGACTTCCATGGTAAACTAGACTTCCATGGTAAAATGAACTTCCATGGTAAACTAGACTCCCATGGTAAACTGGACTTCCATGGTAAACTAGACTCCCATGGTAAACTGGACTTCCATGGTAAACTGGACTTCCATGGTAAACTGAACTTCCATGGTAAACTGGGCTTGCATCAGGGGGTGGGTGATGGGGGTGGGTTGCAGGGGGTGGACAGCCCAGCGGCTGGCGGCCTCACGCGTGGTGCCCCCCCCCCCCCCCCCCCCAGACGTGGTCGTCTCGCTGCCTCATGCGCTACCTCGCACTCGCCTCGCGACCCGGCGGCGGCGGCGGCTCGGCCCCTGGAGACGCCGGAGGAGCGATCAGTGACGTCAACGACCCCCACCAGCAGCTCCACCACCACCAGCAGCTCCACCCCCAGCAGCAGCTCCACCACCCCCAGCAGCTCCACCCCCAGCAGCAGCTCCACCCCCAGCAGCAGCTCCACCCCCAGCAGCAGCTCCACCACCAGCAGCGCCACCCCCAGGAGCACATCGAGCGCGTGCTCCACTCCAACCCCCTCATGGAGGCCTTCGGTACGCACTCTCCTCCCCCCCGCTCCCCCGCCCCCCTCCCCCCACCGGTTGCACCCCCCCCCCCTCTCCATCACCTCCTCCGCCCCCTCTTCCTCCATCATCTTTCACCAACCCACCCCCTCCTCCCCCTTCTGCCCCCCCCTGCCTCCTCTCCTATCCCCATAATCTGCCACCACCTCCTTAATGATATCGACCCCCCTCTTCCCCCACCCCCTAATCTCCCACCACCTCCCCTCCACCCTCCATTATAGTGCAGTGCACTGCACGTACGTAAGTGGGAAATACGTTCCCTTAACGTTGTACATTTATCTTAAATTAAATGAGATGTCACAAATATAAAAAACATAAAGGACGCAGCCCTACAATTGCTCGCTCACGCCGCTGCTGGCGGGAGAGTGTGAGCCCGGGGGAGTTGTGGCGAGCCCCCGGCTGGCCAGGCGACGTGCCAGACGTGGGAGTGCCCACACACTTTACCCCACCCGCGATGACCTGCCCGGTCGACAGCGGAGGCGGTAGTGGCGGGGGGGGGGGTGTAAGAAACCCGTCTCATTGTTTCAATAACCGGGACGGGAGTTCGACCCGGCGACCTCTTGGGTCGCAAGTCGGCGGCGCGAGGCTGGACCCTTCGCGCCTCGTGGCAGAGCCACCTCCAGGGTGCATCGTGGCCCGGCAGCTTCGCGAGCAGAGGGGCGCACGGCTCACGCGGCAGCTGCCCTCCGTGCGTGTCACATGTCCCCCATCATGCGTGTCACTTGTCCATAGGCCTCGGCAAGGTAAGGTAATTTACCCTTTTTACCGGGTAAAAGGGTAAAGGTGTCGACATGCCAAGGGGTAAGGTAAAGGGTAGGGTAAAGGTAGCTCGGAACAATTACCCGGTAGGGTAAAGGTAGCGCGAAGTATTACCCGGTAAATACGGTGCCTTGTTTATCGCTAAAAGCTCCGTGGTGCAGTCTGTGGCTTCCATTTAATAAGTAATATTGAAAAAAATAATTAAACATGCTTTTATTAAATGTACTAGTAATGACAGAACTCCACAACTCCAGGAATTGGCCCCGAAGCTTGCCATAACATAAGGGGCCGTGGTCATTTTACAGCCAACGTGAGTTGACCGTGGACAATTAGACCCAAGCCGAAACATAACATATAAAAAATAATGTTTAAAATATATATATATTTTAATGATAGAATATAGTATTGTCATCAGTATGACATAAGTATGCCAGGTTTGCAGTCGATACCACATTGGGAAGTGGGTTAAAATTGAGTTACAAGTTTTGAGGATACAACAACGATGACAACGACGACAACAACAAGCGTCTGACATTGTAATCATCAAGAGCATTCTATATGTATGAAGCGTTCTACCTATAGCATTTACCGTTATAAACCTTTTTCATGTTTGGTAGTACCCCAGTAATTACCCTGTAATCGGGTAATTTGTATGGACAAGTTGTCCATGCGTGTCACGTGTCCCCTGTGTGTGTCACGTGTCCATCCGTGTACCCCGTGCGTGTCACGTGTCCATCATGCGCGTCACGTGTTCATGCGTGTACCCCGCGCGTCACGTGTCCATCATGCATGTCACGTGTCCCCCGTGCGTGTCACGTGTCAATCATGCGTGTCACGTGTCCCCCCGTGCGTGTGCGTAGGTAACGCGTGCACGCTTCGCAACAACAACAGCTCGCGCTTCGGCAAATATGTGCAGCTGCAGTTGAACAGGTACACACAGACGTGCAGCTGCACGTGAACAGGTACACACAGACATGCAGCTGCAGTTGAACAGGTACACACAGACGTGCAGCTGCAGTTGAACAGGTACACACAGACGTGCAGCTGCAGTTGAACAGGTACACACAAACATGCAGCTGCAGTTGAACAGGTACACACAGACATGCAGCTGCAGTTGAACAGGTACACACAGACGTGCAGCTGCAGTTGAACAGGTACACACAGACGTGCAGCTGCAGTTGAACAGGTACACACAGACGTGCAGCTGCAGTTGAAAAGGTACACACAGACGTGCAGCTGCAGTTGAAAAGGTACACACAGACGTGAGCTGCACGTGAACAGTTGGTTGAGGATTCTGTTAATGATGAGTTTGGTAATACTGATGATTACCATCAGACTGGCGGTGATGAGTCTGGTAATGAAAATAATGGTGATTTTATTCTGGTGATGATAACTCTGGTGATGATGCCGATTACTGTTGAAGACGAATCTGGTGATGATTCTGATGATGATCATGATGCACATTCGAGTGATGATGATGATTCTGGAGATGATGCTCGTTATTATTGATGTTGTAACTCGCTGGCCCGGCCCTACTGGACACCTGTGTGAAAGAGCTTGATAGCTCATCGGATTTCTCCAGTCTGATTCGAATTGGAGTGACGGCGACGACGATGGTGACCATGATGACGATGTGCCTGCAGTGATCACGAGCTGGTGGGCGCCTCCATACAGACGTACCTGCTGGAGAAGACCCGCGTGGTCTTCCAGGCACCCCACGAGAGGAACTTCCACATTTTCTACCAGGTGCCACTTCACGCTGCCAGGGCCATCCACCACCTGCCCGCCAAAGCTCCCACTCTTCACCTGACCCAAGACCCCCCCCCCCCACGCACCACAATGCTGACCTGACTGCCACCCTCGACATTAACCCTTGACCGCACCAGGATCCCCGCCATATCCTACCGGGCGATAAACTAAACTATGTTAATTTTAACAGGTAAGGCCCACCGGGCTCTGTAGCTCTTTTCTCGGAAGCGACCTGAACAGCACAAAGTACAGCTCCACAAAGTGGCTCGTCTCGTAGAAATGTACAGCAGCCAAATACAGGAAAGCTTTGAACATCGAGGATTTATCGTTCGCGGTTTCGACGTATCACGGGCAGCCTCTTTGTATGCCAATTTAGCTACAGCGGGGGTTAGTTGTGGCCTTTCGCGGGTTGCTGTACCCAGAAGTAGTGTCTCGTTGGCTGGAACCGTGGAGCGGGTCGAGTGCTGTTAGCGAGCACCTATGAAGGCCAGCACAGCACACGAGGGGGTGGGTGGCCAGTACCATGCCCGGACGCCTTTGTCTCCCCAGTGGCGATGTTTACACACCGCACCAGGAACTCATTTGAGGCTGAGTCGACCTATGGGAGACCCAGAAACCGTTCAGATAATCGTCACTGGTGTTGGCCGCGAGCGGGAATCGAACTCGGGTCGCCGGGTTCGTAGCGCAGTGCGCTAAACGTTGCACTACCGTTCCCCACTGGTCACACACACACAGACACACACACAGACACACAGACACACACACATAAACACATACACACCACTTCTGAATTATAAGACGCACTCCCAACATTTGCTTTAAGCTTCGGTAGGGAGTGCCTCTTGTAATCCAGAGAATACGGTGCCATTAACCGTAGACCTGACCATGACCCCGAACACTAATCCCTGACCCTCATCAAAATCCCCGAATGATCAGCACTGACCTCACCATGCATCGCGATCCTGCCCACGAGCATCGGCGAAAAGTTGACCGCTGACCTGTGCACCACCCCCGCCCTTCCTCCCCAGATGGTGAAGGGTGCGAGCGAGCAGGAGAGGGAGGCGTGGGGCCTCCCCGCGGAGGCAACGTTCACGTGGCTGCCCAACGCGGAGCAGCACCTCGAAGGTTCGACTCCCGACCCTGGTGGATCCAGCCAGCGGTGGCAGCGCCACTGCTGGGCTGGATTCTGAGTTGAATGTTCAAGTTCGTTTTGTGCAGCCAGGAGATAACTGGGCAGCGTCAGGGTCATGCGCGACCTGGGTCACCACAATGACAATGAGATGAGGGTTCTGTACCGGATGGGACCAGGGTCCGGTACCGGATGGGACGAGGGTTCTGTACAGGGTGGCATGAGGGTTCTGTATCGGATGGGACGAGGGTTCTGTCCCGTCTCGAGACGTCATCGTCGAGTCCATGCGTCCTTCTACCCCTCCCTCCCTCCCTCTCCCGCCCGTCACCCAGAGGACGACTTCGAGGTGACGAAGGTGGCCATGGTGAACCTGGGCATGGAGCCTGGCGAGCGAGACCTCGTCTTCCAGGTGAGGGCCCTGCGTCCCTCACGGCCGCCCCCACCGTTCCTCCCTCCGCTCCCCCGGTGCCCGCCCCCCCGGTTCCTCCCTCTGCTCCCCCGGTGCCCGGCCCCCCCCCCCCGGTTCCTCCCTCTGCTCCCCCGGTGCCCGGCCCCCCCACCCCGGTTTCTCCCCCCGGCTCCTCGCTCCGCGTCACCCCGCGGGAGTCCCTCGGGGTTCCCCGTCTTGTTTTCAGGAGAGGCATTGGACCCGAAGTCGCCACGACTATCGCGGCTTTCCCATCGGCCAAGACATTGTTACGAATGTTGATTTGAGTTATTTTCTGGATGTGCTGTGTGCGCCCCGCTATGCTTGCGTGTGTGCTGCGTGTGTGCTGCGTGTGTGCTGCTTGCGTGTGTGCTGCGTGTGTGTGCTTCATGCGTGTGTGATGCGTGCGTGTGTGCTGCGTGTGTGTGCTTCATGCGTGTGTACTGCGTGCGTGTGTGCTGCGTGTGTGTGCTTCGTGCGTGTGTGATGCGTGCGTGTGTGGTGTGTGTGTGCGTGCTGCATGTGTGCTGCGTGCGTGTGTACTGCGTGTCTGTGCTTCATGCATGTGTGATGCGTGAGTGTGTGCTGCGTGTGTGCTTCGTGCGTGTGTGCTTCGTGCGTGTATGCTGCGTGCGTGTGTGCTGCATGCGTGTGTACTGCGTGCGTGTGTGCTTCGTGTCTGTGCTTCATGCGTGTGTGATGCGTGCGTGTGTGCTGCGTGTGTGCGTGCTGCATGTGTGCTGCGTGTGTGCTGTGTGTGCCGCAGGTTCTCTCGGCGCTTCTGCACCTGGGCACCGTGAGCTTCACGCAGCACGACGAGGCGAAGCCGTGCAGTGTGCAGCCTGCGTGCCACGGTGCGTGCTGCTGCACTAGTGTGTGAGCGAGTGTGAGCGCGTGTGTGCGCGTGAGCGCGTATGTGCGCGTGTGTGTGCGTGCGCGTGTGTGCGCGTGTGAGCGCGTGTGAGCGCGTATGTGCGCGTGTGTGCGCGTGTGAGCGCGTGTGTGCGCGTGTGTGTGCGTGTGTGTGTGTGTGCGCGTGTGTGCACGTGTGTGTGCGTGTGTGTGTTCGTGTGTGCGCGTGTGTGCGTGTGAACATGGGGAGCGGAGGTGCCACGATTCGCGCGCTGTGCGACTAAAGTACTAAAGTAACTAAACCAAAGATCAAAGTTTAATTCCCGTTCACGACCACCAACACCAGTGACGACAATCTGAGGCGGCCCTGGGCCTCCACTAGGTCGACTGAGCCTCAAATTAATGCCTGGTGTGTTTTGCAGTAAACATCGCCACCGGGGAGACAAAAGCAGCCGGGCATGGTGCTGGCCAGTCACCCCCTCGTGTGCCGTTGCGGCCTTCATAGGCGCTCGCTAACATCACTTGCCCCTACAGTCTGTCAAGGCTATACGGGGATCTTTGTCTTTGCGTGGTGGCAGGGAGCCTGGCGACGGCGTGCCGCCTGCTGCGGCTCCCGGAGGAGGCGGTGCGCGCGCGCCTCGCGCTGCGCGAGATCGCCACGACGCAGGGCGGGCGGCGCTCCGTGCTGCTCACGCCCTGCGCCCGGCGCGAGTGCAGCACGCGGCGCGACTGCCTCGCCAAGCTCGTGTACACGCGGTGAGCACGCGGGGTCACGCGGGGTCACGCGGGGTCGCTCAGGGTCGCTCAGGGTCGCGTGGGGCTAGGGACGTGGGGCTTGAGTCGTGTGGGTGGGGTTAGGGTCGTGGGGCTCAGCCTTAAATGAGTAACACTAGGGAGACAAAGGCGGCCGGGCGTGGTGCTGGCCACCCACCCCCTCGTGCGCCGGCCTTAACAAAGTGCTGTTCGCTGACAGCACTTCCCCAACAGGCTGTTAAAGGCTACACGGGGGACCTTTGCCTCGTGTCCGTGTGTGCAGGCTCTTTGAGTGGCTCGTGGCGCTGGTGAACACGAGGATTGGCGCCGGCTCCAGCACGTGGAGCCGCTTCATCGGTAAGAGTTGCCCAGCGCGGAGTCCCCCCCCCATCCCCGGGGGACTCGTACCTCCTCCCCCCTGCTCCCTCCTCCTCCCCTCCACTCCTTCCCCCTCCCTCCCCCTTCCCCCTCCTTCCTCCTCCGCCCTCCTCCCCCCTCCTCCCTCCCCCTACCTCCTACCCCCTCCCTCCGCCTCCCTCCTCCTCACCCCCCTATCCCCCTTGTCCCTACCCCGTCCTCCCTCCCCCTGCTCCCTCCTCCTCCCGTCCACTCCTTCCCTCCCCCTTCCCCCTCCCTCCTCCTCCCCCTCCCCCCTCCCTCCTCCCCCCTCCCCCTGCTCCACGTCTTTTCTCCCCCGCCAACTCCCCTCGGGAGCCTCCCGTGTCGCCGGACAACGGCCCGCTGAAGCGGACGTCACAGAGCTACCTCGGAGATCCCCTCGAGCGGCCTGGCCCACGCGGTCGAGGGCGGCACTCTGCCAGCCGCTCCGCCGAACGAGAGCAAATGTTCGGCGCGCGGCGCTCCAGTCGATAATATTGGATTCTCAGAGCTGGACCCTTAGGCAAATGAAGTGCCGAGCCAGATTGAATGAGACCGCGGTGTTTTTGTGTGTGGGGTCATCGGTGATCCGGCCATGAACTCACTGCATCTGAGAAGCCGGTTTCATCATAACCCTGTCCATGTGAGTCTCTGGGTCTCTGTGTGAGTCTCTGGATCTCTGTGTGAGTCTATGGGTCTCTGTGTGAGTCTATGGGTCTCTGTGTGAGTCTATGGGTCTCTGTGTGAGTCTATGGGTCTATGTGTGAGTCTATGGGTCTCTGTGTGAGTCTATGGGTCTATGTGTGAGTCTATGGGTCTCTGTGTGAGTCTATGGGTCTATGTATGAGTTTATGGGTCTCTGTGTGAGTCTATGGGTCTATGTGTGAGTCTATGGCTCTCAGTGTGAGTCTATGGGTCTCTGTGTGAGTCTTTGGGTCTCTGTGTGAGTCTATGGGTCTCTGTGTGAGTCTGTGGGTCTCTGTGTGAGTCTATGGGTCTCTGTGTGAGTATGTGGGTCTCTGTGTGAGTCTATGGGTTACTGTGTGAGTCTATGGGTCTCTGTGTGAGTCTATGAGTCTCTGTGTGAGTCTATGGATGTCTGTGTGAGTCTATGGTACTCTGTGTGAGTCTATGGGTCTCTGTGTGAGTCTATGGGTCTCTGTGTGAGTCTATGGGTCTCTGTGTGAGTCTACGGGTCTCTGTGTGAGTCTATGGGTCTCTGTGTGAGTCTATGGGTCTCTGTGTGAGTCTGTGTGTCTCCGTGCGAGTCTATGGGTCTCTGTGTGAGTCTATGGGTCTCTGTGTGAGTCTATGGGTCTCTGTGTGAGTCTATGGGTCTCTGTGTGAGTCTATGGGTCTCTGTGTGAATCTATGGGTCTCTGTGTGAGTCTATGGGTCTCTGTGTGAGTCTATGGGTCTCTGTGTGAGTCTATGGGTCTCTGTGTGAGTCTACGGGTCTCTGTGTGAGTCTATGGGTCTCTGTGTGAGTCTATGGGTCTCTGTGTGAGTCTGTGTGTCTCCGTGTGAGTCTATGGGTCTCTGTGTGAGTCTATGGGTCTCTGTGTGAGTCTATGGGTCTCTGTGTGAGTCTATGGGTCTCTGTGTGAGTCTATGGGTCTCTGTGTGAGTCTGTGTCTCCGTGTGAGTCTATGGGTCTCTGTGTGAGTCTATGGGTCTCTGTGTGAGTCCACAGAGACGCCGCGGCGGAGCCCCCCACCCGGCCCCCCACTGACCCCTCCCCCTGCCCCCCCCCTTCCTCTCCCCCCGCAGGGCTCCTGGACGTGTACGGGTTCGAGTCGTTCCCCATGAACAGCCTGGAGCAGCTGTGCATCAACTACGCCAACGAGAAGCTGCAGCAGCACTTTGTCGCGCACTTCCTGCGGGCGCAGCAGGTGAGTGGGGAGGGGGGAGGGGGCCGCGGGCGGCAGTGGGGAGCCGGGGGGCAGGGGCGGGGGGGCACTGGTGAGGGGTGAGGGGGGGGGCTGTCGCGTTGTTGCTGAGCCGATGGAACGCGCCTAAGGAACGCGCGCTCCTTGGGAGTGCGTCCCGCATTGCGTGTCTGTGTGTGTATATGTGTGTGCATGTGTGCGTGTGTGCGTGTGTGCGTGTGTGTATGTGTGTGCATGTGTGCCTGCATGTGTGCGTGTGTGTGTGTGCGTGTGTGTGTGCGTCTGTGTGTGTATATGTGTGTGCATGTGTGCCTGTGTAGTGGCATAAGAAGGGAGGGGCTGCTGTAGGCTCTGGCTTCCCAGGTGGGTCCAGACGCGTAAGCCTCTGGGCGCCAGGCACTGGGTTCCCAGGGGATCCAGACGCTTTTAAGCCTTTGGGCGCCAGGCGTTGGGTTCCCAGGCGCTTAAGCCTTTTTGGCGCCGCCAACGGGGTGGGGGGCTGTGTGTGCTCTGTGGGATGTCTGGTGGCGCACAAGACCCACCCCTCGTCGGACCAGGCATAAAAGGAGAGCTCCCTGGACGATCGGCCCAGTTGTAACTCAAGACCCAAGACCCACGACCAGCCATCTGAAGACCCTGGGATGCTGTGAGAGCCAGCGCTGGGACTCTGGAACTCCCGACGCTACGACCTTGTGAGGGCGAGTCCAGAGCGTAGCCAGAGTAGAGTATCTAGGCTGTGTAGCTAGGCTGTGTACCTAGGCTGTAACAGAGTATCAGGACTGTTGGAGTGTTGTATTGTAATAAAGAAGTTACATCTACAAGTGTCTCCGGAACCCGTTACATTTGGCGTCAGAGGTGGCAATGGAGACAAGAAGTAAGCCACGTACCTTCAGTCCTGACGGCGATGTTGAGGAGCAAGCGGCGACGGGGCAGCCAACTCGGGCCGACAACAACGCTGCACCACCGGCTGAGCAGGCGTCCACCACACCTGCCGATCCTCCTCCAGCGTCGGGAGCAGCAATGGAGGAAACGCTGCTTCGCCTCACCAAGCTGCTCCACGCCACCGTCTCCATCCTGGACGACATGCGTCGCTCACAGGCGGAGGCAGGAGGGAGAGAGGCGGCGCAGCGACCGCGCCATCCCGCCGGCTCCAACACAAACACATCCGGGTGTGTCGTCACTTCTGCGGGGGGAGCAGTGGCCGCTGGGAGCGACGTCACTTCCGGGCCCAGCGTGGGCCATCCCGATGACGCCGCGTCGTCAGCGCTGCGTCCCTCACCGCCGGGTGACAGCTGTTGGCAACCCAGCAACGCCGCGTCGTCAGCGCTGCGTCCCTCACCGCCGGGTGACAGCTGTTTGCAACCGCCGAGTGAGAGCGCTGCGAACGCGCAGCCAGCTTCAGCCGGGTTGCCAGGCAACGGAAGCTTGGCTCACGTCCAGCAACGCCTGCCAGCACTCAAGGCATTTTCTTCAGAGGGGGGTGAGTGGGCAGCGTTCGAACGCCGGTTCGTCTCTCTTATAGAGACGTCCGGCTGGTCGAAGTATGAAGCGCTCCAGGGCCTCCCGGCCATGCTCGACGACGACTCCCTCGCAACACTCCTTGCTGTGCCACGGGCGAAACGTGCCACGCTCACGGATGCCCTTCATCAGATGCGGCTGATTTATGGACCCCCATCCGAAGCACGTCACCGCTTCGAAGCGAGGAGGAAGAAGGCCTCCGAGTCGGCGATGGGGTACCGCAGCGCGCTGCTGGCCATGGCGAAGGTTGCCTACCCTCGCATGGATGAAGACGCTGTGGAGTCACTCGTGCTGCAGAAGCTCATGAGCTTGGCCCGCCAGCTTCGAGTTGCCATGCCGACAGCCGACGACGACGACGACTTCACGTCGCTACGTGCTGCCAGGTGCATCCAAGCACACCTACATTGCGATGAGGACACGACCATCGCTGCCTGCGCAGGCCCACCTGATGCACAAGCCTATGACGTGCATTCGGGGCCTCATCAGGCCTTCGCAGCAATAGAAAATCGCGGATCGTCCAACTGGCGATCCCAGCGAGATCACCACCAGCGGGACCGGCCAACCTCGCGCCAGGATGGAGCGTCCATCGTCTGCCACAACTGTGGCCTTCGGGGCCATGTGGCGTCCGGCTGCCGGGTCCCCCGACGCCGGACTTCAGGACCTCCGGCGCCTCGGCCACCACCTTATCCTCGGCATACCCAGGCGAGTCACGACACCTCGCACTCTCGGCCCCCACTTACAACAAGCACGCACCCTCACACCACACAGGGGGGTCATGCTTCGGAGGAGGGGGATTCGGGCCCATCATTGAACAACCGGGCGCTCGGACCGGGTCAATGGTCCGAGTTGGCCCATAGGGTCGTTGCCGCTGCGGCAGGGTCCTCTGCCGTAGTGGGTTCCATCGAGGGCGTTGATGTTCGTATGTTGATCGATACGGGTGCGTCGGCGACCATCATTTCAGACATAATTTATAACATTTTGCCCGATACATGCCGTCCCTTGCAGCCAGTTGATGTGCCATGCTATGCCGCAAATGGGGGTTCGTTGGGCATCACCGGACGGATCAATGCTCAGATCCGCATTGCTGACGTCCAATTAGTTGGGCCCATTTTGGTCTCATCAACCCTCGCCGTTCCGTGCCTCCTCGGAACAGATTTCTTGGGGAAGATGCCCATTAAAATTCTCATTAACAAAGGATGTATTGAGCTCCCCTCCGGCCGACGCATGGCCTTCCTACCCACACCCACTCGGTTGCACTCCGCATCTATGACGGTGCAGGCGTTGGCGGCGTGCACAATTCACATTCCTCCTGGCTCTCAGATGTTAGTTCCCCTCCGGTTTCGTAAACCCCTTGATTACGACGCGTTCATGGGGGGTGCTGTGATCGGGCCTTCGCGTTCAGCTGAGCGGGTGCCGGACCTCGTGTGTGCACAAACGCTCGTGCGAAGCGACCACGACCCCTTTATCCAGGTCCTTAACGCGGGATTGGAAACGGCCGTTATCTGTCAGGGAATGGTGCTTGCTCACGCGACGCCAGCCCCGCCAGAAGATGTGATCGTGGGTCACGTAGGGGGCGAGTTCTCTTCCGTTGCCAAGCCAGGTCCTGACACAGGATGGCTCGACGCGCTTTGCTCCACTTCTGCCGATTTGTCACCATTACAGCATGCTAAATTACGCACGCTGCTGAGCGATTTCGCCGACGTTTTCAGTCAAAGCAAATTCGACATTGGCTGCACTAAATTGCTAAGCCACCACATCGACACGGGTGATGCCGCTCCAATTCGTCAAAACCCATTCCGGTTGAGCCCGGCCGAAAAGGAACATGTACGGGTGGCCGTCAACGATATGTTGGCGGCCGATGTCATTGCGCCATCAAATAGCCCATGGGGGGCGCCGATCGTTCTTGTTAAGAAGCACGACGGGAGCCTCCGCTTTTGTGTTGACTTCAGGAAACTTAATAAGATTTCTGTGGCCGACGCCTACCCGCTTCCCAGGATGGACGAGTCGCTCGATGCCTTAGCAGGTGCGCATTACTTCTCCACCTTGGATCTCCTCTCGGGGTTTTGGCAGCTACCCCTTGATGACGCATCCAAACCAAAGACGGCCTTTCGCACGCCGCAGGGACTGTTCCAATTCAACAGACTTCCCATGGGTCTTCACTCGGCCCCGGCGACGTTCCAGCGCCTGATGGAGCTGGTCCTCGCTGGGCTCCAGTGGGATTCTTGCCTAATCTACCTCGACGATGTAATCGTGTTCAGCAAAACTTTTGATGAACACCTCACGCGATTGAAGGCAGTTTTCCTTAAAATGCGAACGGCTAACCTCAAATTCAAACCGCAAAAGTGCCACCTCATGAGGGATTCGGTTCGTTATTTGGGCCATATTGTCAGCCGCTCGGGAATTGCCACGGACCCCGAAAAGACAAATTGCGTGCGCTCATGGCCAACTCCTACCTCTGTTGGGGAGGTGCGGAGTTTTATCGGCTTCGCCTCATATTATCGACGATTTGTTGCGGGATTTGCATCCATCGCGAAGCCCCTCCACGCATTGACGGCCAAAGGGGTCAAATTCCGCTGGGGAGAGTTAGAACAGGCATCTTTCAATGCCGTCCGAAAAGCACTGGTCGATGCTCCTACCCTGTCTTATCCAGATTTTACCACTCCGTTCATTCTGGATACAGACGCCAGCAACACCGGAATTGGAGGGGTGCTGTCGCAAATTGTCAATGGAGTGGAGCGCGTCGTCGCCTATGGCAGCAGGGTGCTGTCGCCCGCGGAGCAACGTTACTGCGTGACGCGCCGCGAATTGCTTGCTATCGTTTTTTTCATAAAGCAGTACAGGCCATACGTGTATGGCAGGCATTTCACAGTACGCTCCGACCATGCGGCGCTACAATACGCCTTGCGAGTGGACCAACCATCTGGACAGCTCTCGCGTTGGCTCGAGATCCTCCAGGACTTTGCGTTCACTGTCATTTACCGCAAGGGGATTCAACACGGGAACGCCGACGGGTTGTCGCGGCTGCCGAACAATGGGCGCTGTGCTTGTTTTTTGGGTGCGGGGCGTTGTAGGCAGCCTGACGGAGTACCGCCCCCATCCCTTGTGGCCGCGGCCGGGGATGGGGTCGGGGACCACAGGGCTCCCTCCACGCAAGTTCCGCAGGACGCATTGCTGGGCCTCGGGTTGGACGACTGGGGACGTCTTCAGATGGAAGACGTCTCCCTCCTCAAATTGAGACGCCGCGCTAGGGATGCCGAGGGTCACAGGGGGCAGGGGGGCCCCGTATCATATGTCATCCGGGAAGGCGTCCTCAAGCATTGGGATGGGGGGTCCCAATCCCACACATTGGTGGTGCCCACCTCCCTGCGGGGGCGGCTTGTGTGGGAAACCCACAGTCGCCTCTTGCACTTGGGTGTTCAGAAAACACTAGCTAAAATCCCATTAGAATTTTTCTGGCCGGGCATGGCAAACGATGTGGCTGACCTTGTGCAAGGTTGCACAGAATTTGCACGGCGGAAACCACCTGCTAGGCCGTCCTGCCCGCCGCTCCAATCCATTAAAGTTTCCCGGGTCAATGAGATCGTCGCATTGGATATTTTGGGTCCGTTTCCCGCTACTCCTCGGGGTAGTAAGTACCTTTTGGTTGGGGTCGAATATTTTACCCGATGGGCCATGGCCTGGCCACTCCCCAACCAGTCTGCAGCAGCCATTACGGAGGCCTTTTTCCAGGGCTACGTCCTGGATAAGGGTGCTCCCGAACGCCTGCTGACCGACCAAGGGAAAAATTTCTCTTCCACGCTGTTGCGGGATGTGTGCAACCTGCTAGGGACACACAAAATTCGCACCTCGCCATATCACCCCCAGACTGACGGTATGGTCGAGCGATTACATAGGACACTTACCTCCATGCTAAGCCACCAGGTGTCTGAGTCACAGACTGATTGGGATCTCCACATACCTGGTGTCTTGGCCGCCTATAGAATGGCGCCCCATGCTGCCACCGGGTACTCGCCATTCTATCTTATGTATGGTAGGGAGGTTTGCCCCCCAATCGACGTACAATTGCACATTAAACAGCCCGCACCTAAGGCTAAGATTGCCGACCACATCCGTGCTAATGTGCGTCGTCTCATGGATGCCCGGGAGGCTGCTCAAAATAACTCAGAAGCCCGTCAGCTTGCCAACGAGCGGTTGCGGAATCTCCGCACATCCCGCCACGTTTGGGTGGAAGGGGACCGCGCCTGGCTCCACTGCCCGCAGGTACCATTGGCTACTTCCTCAAAACTGCTTAAGCCTTGGAGAGGCCCGGTTGTTATTATTCGCGTTCTCCGCCCGCAGTGTGTCAGGATCCAGCATGGCAAGCGACGTTGGTTCGTGCACCCGTCACGTCTAAAACCTTACATTCAACCCTACACACCTCCTTCACTTCTCCGGGGCCGAGAGCGCGACATGTCTGACGAGCCGCGCCGCGATGATGCTGCTTCTAACTCTCGGGCAGGTCCCGCTGACCCGCCCTCAGGTGCCTTGGGAATGAAATCCGCCACGGCCGACCAAGCGGGAACAAGCTTGCCCGCGGGATCAGCGACCCAGGACACAAGCGCAACAGCGGGTCGTCGGTCCCCTCCCGCCTCCGTCGCGACCGATGGACCTGCCACTCGGACTCGCTCAAAACTCAAACGATTTTCATGACCCCCGCCCACGAACTCTCGTCCCAACGCGACGCCACTCACTTTGCCACCATGTATAGTGGGCGATTGGGGCGTGCGTTCATCCTGCATATATGTGTTTATACAGTGTTGTTCTGCATCGGTGACCACAGGAGGGGGAGAGGCGCTTTCTTCTCATTTTTTTTTCTTGATTGTCACACACTCATTCTGATGGTTAACAAATAATTTCTTGTACAATTGTATTTTTTTTTTGACAGCCGGGTCGGCTGGAGGCTACGTAGAGGGGGGTAATGTAGTGACATAAGAAGGGAGGGGCTGCTGTAGGCTCTGGCTTCCCAGGTGGGTCCAGACGCGTAAGCCTCTGGGCGCCAGGCACTGGGTTCCCAGGGGATCCAGACGCTTTTAAGCCTTTGGGCGCCAGGCGTTGGGTTCCCAGGCGCTTAAGCCTTTTTGGCGCCGCCAACGGGGGGGGGGGGGGGGGCTGTGTGTGCTCTGTGGGATGTCTGGTGGCGCACAAGACCCACCCCTCGTCGGACCAGGCATAAAAGGAGAGCTCCCTGGACGATCGGCCCAGTTGAACTCAAGACCCAAGACCCACGACCAGCCATCTGAAGACCCTGGGATGCTGTGAGAGCCAGCGCTGGGACTCTGGAACTCCCGACGCTACGACCTTGTGAGGGCGAGTCCAGAGCGTAGCCAGAGTAGAGTATCTAGGCTGTGTAGCTAGGCTGTGTACCTAGGCTGTAACAGAGTATCAGGACTGTTGGAGTGTTGTATTGTAATAAAGAAGTTACATCTACAAGTGTCTCCGGAACCCGTTACACCTGCATGTGTGCGTGTGTGCGTGTGTGTGTGCGTCTGTGTGTGTATGTGTGTCTGCGTGTGTGTGTATGTGCATGTGGGGAGCGATAGTATAGCGGTTAGCGCGCTGCGCTATTAACCCAACGACCCAAGTTCGATTCCCGCTCACGGCCAACACCAGTGACGATTATCTGAACCGGTCCTGGGCATCCCCTAGGTCGACACAGCCTCAAATGAGTACATGGTGCGGTGTGTAGTAAACATCGCCACTGGGGAGACAAAGACGGCCGGGCGTGGTGCTGGACACCCACCCCCTCGTGTGCCGTGCCGGCCTCCGCAAGCGCTCGCTCACGGCACTTGCCCCAGCAGTCTGCTGAGGCTACACGGGGCATCTGTGTCTGTGTGTGCGCAGGAGGAGTACGCGCAGGAGGGGCTGCAGTGGTCATTTATCGACTACGAGGATAACTCGAGCTGCCTGGAGCTCATCGAGGGCCCCGTCAGCGTCGCCACCCCCGTGGGGCCCGCGCCCAGCCTCTTCTCCCTCCTCAACGAGGTGACGGCGGCGGCGACCGCGATGGAGCTGCGGTGGTGGTGTGGTTGTGATGCTGTGGTGTTGGTTTTGATGTTGTGGTGTTGGTGTTGTTGTTAGTCGTGGTGGTGGTGTGGCGATGGTGTGGTCGTAGTGATGATGAAGGTGATGGAGTGGGGATGGTGGTTGCGGTGGTAGCGGCGGTGGTGGTGGTGTGGTTTCAGTAACTGCAGTTGCGATGAAACGTCATCGAGTCTATAGCCAGGTTGCCGCAGTATGTCCGACACTCACTCGCTCTCACTAACTCACTCTCACTCACTCACTCACCCACTCACTCACTCACTCTGCAGAAGAGCGGGAGAAGTTACCAACCCCACACAGAAAGAAGTTCGCCCCAATCGGGAGTCGAACCGAGGTGCTGCCCGCTTTGGGGCTCGAGCGTCACCGACCGTGCGAGCACCGAGCGGTGTGCGAGCGAGCGAGCGAGCGTACACGCATGTGTATGTGCGCGTGAGCGCGGCGAACTGTGACTTACGAACCTGGCGGCCCGAGTTAGATTCCCCGCTCACGACCAATAACAGTGGTGAATATTTGAACCGGTGCTGGACCTCCTCTAGCCTGGTGCAGTGTGTAAACATAAACACTGGGGAGACAAAAGCGGCTGGGCGTGGTGCTGGTGACCCACCCCCTTGTGTGCCGTGCCGGCCTTCATAGGTGCTACTACTCGCTAACAGCACTTTCCCCAACAGTATGTTAAAGCTATGCGGGGGATCTTTGTCTTTGTGTGTGTGCGCGTGCGCTCGCAGGCTTGCCGCGCGAACCGCGAGTCCAACGCGGCGGCGCTGGACTCGCACCTGCGGCGCACACTGGCCGGCCGGCGCTGCGTGTCGTGGCCACGCTTCTCGGACGCGCCCGAGTTCGTGGTGGAGCACTACGCCGGCTACGTCCCCTACCGCATCGACGGCCTCACGCAGAAGAACGAGGTCCATTCACTGCCGCCGGACGTCACGGCGACATAGGGGGGGGCGGGGGGGGTCGAGAGGTCGTGGCGAGCGTCATCACCGGACGACGAAATCTCCCGATGGGGTTTTCAGGTCGTGCCACGTGCTGTTTCGTCGCGACGTCCGACGTTCCAGTCCGTGCGAAACGTCGGAAGTCGACGGCGATCGACGACCCGGGATGGCCTCGGAGATAGCCAGCGCCGGCGCTAGCGCGCGATGCCGCGTCAGCGCCGGCGTGCGCCTACGTCGCCCGTAACGCGCCCGATCCCATCGGATCTCAGAGAGCGAGGCAAGGTTTGGGCCTGGATGAATACCTGGGCGGGCGACCGTGGGCGACGCGGCCACGAGGCGTCGCGTCGCAAGACAACACGAGAAACGGGACCTTCGGTCACGGCTGGCGGTCACAGTGACCATCAGGGAGTGCTCACGTGGAGCTCGTGCTCCCCGTGACGCCGTCTCGTCAAACTCTCAAACTCGCGTCACGGAATCCACGCACGCGATCGTCATTCCCTGCCGCTCTTCTGCTGTGTTTTCGGTGCAGGATCCGGTCCCCCCCGAGCTGATCACCCTGCTGGAGGGCTCCCACAATCCCCTCCTGCAGCAGCTGTTTCCCGTGTCGCCGGCGGGCGGCGGGGAGCCTCTGTCTCCATCCCCGCCAGGTCCTGCGCCACGCGGCAAGGCCAGGGTCATGACCGTCGTGTCAAAGTTCAAGGTTTGCCCCACACCGCTCGCAGTCGCGAATTCGCATCGCCCGTTCGGTTCTGCACTCGGTTAGGCTAAAATTCCACCTCCGAGAATGACAAGCACTGGGTCTCGCCATGGAGCCCGGCGGAGCGGGCAGAGTTACGCCGCTCTGGGAGAGTTCCGTCTCCTGATCGCGACGCCGTGCTATGCAGTGGAGGCTCAGCACAGCCGGCGGCGCGTCGCTGCGCGTGTCGCTGCGCATGTCGCTGTGTGATCTGAGCGCTGCGCGTGTCTCTGTGTGTGTTGCAGGCGTCGCTCGACAGCCTCATGAGGCTGCTGCAGACGTCGACGCCGCACTACGTGCGCTGCATCAAGCCCAACGCGGCGTGCCGGCCCCACACTTTCATCCCTGAAGAGGTGAGGCCGAGACCAGCTGAGGCCAGAACAACGTGAGGCCGAGACCAGGTGAGGCTGGGATCAGATGAGGCCGGGACCAGGTCAGGCTGAGCCCAGGTGAGGCCAGGATCAGATGAGGCTGAGACCAGGTGAGGTCATGAACAGGTGAGGTCATGACCAGGTGAGGCATGGACCAGGTGAGGCGGAGACCAAGTGATGCATGGGTCAGGTGAGACCAGGACCAGGTGAGGCTGGTACCAGGTGAGGCCGGCATCAGGTGAGGATTCCACAAGTTGAGATTGTGACCAGGTGAGGCCGGGTCCCACCGGGGCAAGTGGCAGGGAGCCAGCACACCCAGAGTGCTGCTGCCTGCCACTTGCCCCGGTGGTGGCGGTGGAAGCGGTGGTTGTGGTATTGGTTGTGGTTTCTCACGATGGTGACGGTGGTGGTGGTGGTGGTGATGTGTCGTTGCCGGGCGACCAGGTTCTGCCGCAGCTGGAGGCGTGCGGCATCGTCGAGACGATCAACATCAGTGCCGCGGGGTTCCCAGTGAGGTGCGGGGTGAACATACCCACGTACACACACACGTACACACACATGTATACACGTGCACACACACGTGCACACATACGCACACAAAGACAAAGACCCCCGTATAGCCTAAACAGATTTCAGGGGCAAGTGCTGTTAGCGAGCACCTATGAAGGCCGGCACGGCACACGAGGGGGTGGGTGGCCAACACCACGCCCGGCCGCCTTTGTCTCCCTAGTGGCGATATTTACACATCACACCAGGTACTCATTTGAGGCTGAGTCGACTTAGGAGAGGCCCAGGACCGGTTCAGATAATCGTGAATGGGAAACGAACCCGGGTCGCCAGGTTCATAGTGCAATGCGTTCACCACTGCGCCACCTTCCCATATATTTTGTTTGAATTTTTTTACCCATCCCATCAGCCACACGGCCTTTGGGAAGTTAGTAATCTCAGCATTGAACATTCGTTCAACGCAGGTGCAGCAGCAGCAGCAGCAGCATCACCAGCCCGCCCTGACCAGCGTGGTGAAGTACGGTCAAATAACCCCCCACTACCCGGACGCCGTGGGGAGGTCAGTGGATTGACCCCAGGGGGGTGGGGCTCGGCGCGTCGTCTGCAGGTGTGGGTAGCGAGTCCGCTTTTGTCCGTGCTCTAATCCGCTCCGGCGTCGCAGGGTCTCATACCAGAGTTTTGTGGACCGCTACGGCGTGCTGCTGGGATCGGCCCACGACCCCGCGGGCGGGCCGGCGGTGAGCGGCCACGAAGGGCCGGGCGGGGACGGAGGGCCCAGCGGCCACAGCGGGCCAGACGACCCCGACGGAGAGAACGGGAGTGCGCGCCATCGCAGACGACGTGAGGCCCGGACGGTCGTTTGGTTTATTTACTTTTTTTGCTTAAACTATAAACTAAACTATTCAACTATTTTTACTTTACCAGGTAAGGCCCGCGTGGAAATTTATAGCAGCAGCCAAAGACTCTAAACGAGCGATGTCGATTCTAGACGTGGAGGGATAAACCGGAGGTCCCGGAGAAAAATCCATGTGACCAAGGGGAGAGAGACACGCAAACTCCAAATATACAGCAGTAGGCGTCAGGGTCGAGATCGAACCGACGACCCCCTGTATACCAGGCACGGTAGTTAGCATCTCCTAGCCACCATGGTACAGCACACTTGCTCATGTGCTGTGAAGGAGGGTCATTGCCCGAAATGTCGCCTATTGTCTACTTTGCATTTTCAAGGCAACACACGCTCAGAGTGTTCTTGACGCGGACCGCATTGAACCGAGCTGCTGCTCGTTGCTGGTGCACCACTGCAAAAAGCAGCTGCGGGCGCAGCGGCGTCGCCAAACTTTCATTTTCCTGGAAAAAAACGCATTGTGACGTCGTATAAGGGGGTACCGCCTCTACCGAGCAGGCTAGAGCCTGGATAGCGCTTCGTCGGGCACCCACCACGCGCAGCGGGTTGCTATTGGCTACCGCCGCCGCTGCTCGGGGGTTAGAGGCTGCGGAGGGGTCAGCGCAGCGGGAATGCGTCGCTGCGTTGTGCTTCCGCGCTCTCACGCCGGTTGCTCCTGGCGCGCGCTCGTGGGGTGCGCGACGGGGCGCTTCGCTCTGCTGCCATCGGCGTGCCCACAGGCCGCGTCGCTCTGGGACGAGGCGACGCTTCAGAGCGCATCCTGGAGCTGGCGGTGGCCGTCGGCCGCAAGCCTCCATCACCGCCGTCGTCGACATCGTCGGCGCCTCCTCGTCGCTCCGCCGCCGCGCACTGCGGCAAGACCAAGATCTTCCTGGCGCAGGAGACGGTGAGAGCGGCGCGCTCGCGAGGGACGAATGCGGTGGCGGCTGGGGGGGATTTGCGTACCGCGGTCGGTATGGTCCGTGAAACAGGGTCCCCCCCTCTCCAACGTCACCCGGTTTGCCCGCACTCAAAGCTGCCCCCTCTCACCCACCCAACCCCTGGTGCTCGCCCCCCCCCCCCCCGACCGGTCCCCGCGGTGATCGCGGTGCAGCTACAAGAATGGCGCGAATGGCGAGCGCGCCGATGGTTGTGAATCCCGGTTTGATTCGGTCGACAAGCGCCAGGGCCGTGCGTGGGTGCGCGGCGTGACCCGAGAACTCGCCCCTGCGACCTGGCGCGCGCAGCTCGAGAGCCTGGAGCAGGCCCGGCACTGGGCGCTGGATCTGCGGGCGAAGCGGATCCAGGCTTGCTGGCGCCGTCTGCTGGCGCGGAGACTGGCGCGGCGCCACCAGGCGGCCCGCACCATCCAGGCCTACTGGCGCGGGATGCTGGCACGGAGACTGGCGCGGCGCCACCAGGCGGCCCGCACCATCCAGGCCTACTGGCACGGGATGCTGGCACGGAGACTGGCGCGGCGCCATCGGGCGGCCCGCACCATCCAGGCGTGCTGGCACGGGACGCTGGCACGAAGGCTGGCGCGGCGCCACCGGGCGGCAATTCGTACCATCCAGGCGTGCTGGCGTGGGACGCTGGCACGCAGATTTGTGCGGAGACACAGGGCGGCAGTACGCACCATCCAGGCCTACTGGCGTGGGACGCTGGCACGAAGGCTGGCGCGGAGCCACCGGGCGGCAGTATGCACCATCCAGGCCTACTGGCGTGGGACGTTGGCACGAAGGCTGGCGCGGAGCCACCGGGTGGCAGTATGCACCATCCAGGCCTACTGGCGTGGGACGCTGGCACGGAGGCTGGCACGGACCCGCCGGGCGGCAGTACGCACCATCCAGGCCTACTGGCATGGGACGCTGGCACGAAGGCTGGCGCAGAGCCACCGGGCGGCAGTACGCACCATCCAGGCGTGCTGGCGCGGAACGCTGGCACGGAGGCTGGAGCGGAGCCACCGGGCGGCAGTACGCACCATCCAGGCGTGCTGGCGCGGGACGCTGGCACGCAGATTTGTGCGGAGACACAGGGCGGCTCGCGCCATCCAGGCCGGTAAGGGATAGACGCCTTGTGGGTTCACGTACGGGCACCAGCACACGTTGAGGAACAGCACACGGTGTATCATGAGCAACAGCATACGACGAACCTTGGAGCACAAGGCGGCTGCTGCTGCTGGCAAATGCAGCCCTACTGCAGGGAGCACTTAGAGCAGGGGTGGGGAACGTCCGGCCCGCGGGCCGTATAGAGGCCCGCGAAATCATTTGGTGTGGCCCTGCCAAGGCAACCGCAGGCGGGACTCGAAATTCAATAAATCTAGGAGCAAACCTGGAAAAGCAGTTGCGAGTAGCAACGTCATCAATACCAGCTAACATCATCACACGCCTCGCCAAAGAGAAGCAGTTACAGCCATAACATTAGGGGTGAGTTAATTAAATGTTTGACCAAATTTAACGGGCTAATTTTTAAGTTGATAATTTTGTGTGGCCCGCGAATGATGTTACAAATATCCAAATGGCCCTTGGCCGGTAAAAGGTTCTCCAGCCCTGACTTAGAGGAACCCCTTCAGGGGCTGCTGTTATTGGCCTACTCTTGCATGTCTTGAAACGGGTTAGGGGGGCTAGCCACACTTTGCCTGCAGGAATGCCAGGAAGTGGTTGTTGTGGTACTTTACCAAGGCTTAGCCCGCGCACGTGAGGAGTGTGCGAGATGAGAGGCCTCCATTATTACGCTTCAGTTTGGTCCAAAAGTTGCAGTAAGTGGCGATGCACGCGGGGCGGCGTGCGCGTTTAGAGTTTGTGTTCACATTCCGTCGCTTTCTGACCTTTGCTACACTTCGCACTGCTGTCGTGTTTGTCATTGTTACCTTGCCCCCCCCCCTCCCACCCCCGTTGCCCCTTACTGGACATCTGTGAAAAAGAACGTCATCGCTCAATTGGATTCCTCCAGTCTGAATAAAAAAAGATTCTCCGATTCGGCACGTGACCCGCCGATCGATGACGTGAGCGTGCGACGAGCCCATTTGTACCGCTGGGTGGACGTGGGCAGCGTGGGATGGGGTGGGGGCGGGGGGGTGGTTTCAGAAACTGGCCCCGTTGTTTCAGCTGCCGCGCCGGGAGATTGAACCGACTGCGTGCGCGTTCCCCTTCCCCGTGCGGCGCAGGCTTCAGGGGCTGCCGGGCGCGCAGGGAGGCGGCGCGGGCGCAGGGCGCCGCCTCCACTCTGCAGCGCGCGTGGAGGACGCGGAAGGTGCGGCCGTCACGAGAACACTCACGTGAACCGAGACACTCACGTGAACACTCACGTGAACCTAAACACTCACATGAACAATCACGTGAACACTCACATGAACTGAGGCACTCACATGAACAATCACGTGACCACTCAAGTGAACACTCGCGTAAATCGAAACACTCCTGTGAACACTCACTTGAACACTCACATGAATCGAGGCACTCACGTGAACCGACTGTCGGGGCCAAGTGCCGTTTGCGAGCAGCGTGGGGGGTGGGCGCCCGTGGCCCCACCCAGGCCCGACCTACCCTGGTGTCCCCACAGTGCGGATGTTTTACGCACCGCACCAGGTACTCACTTCTAAGGTTGCTTTGACCTAAGGGAGGCCCAGGACCGCTGTTATTGGCCGTGAGTGGGAATCGAACTCGGGTCGCCGTCGATGTTGTGCTCGTCTGCATGCGTTCACGCGGGCCGCGTGTCGAAGCGCGCGCCCGCGCGAACGTGTGAACGTGTGAACGCGTGCTGGCGTGAACGCGTGCTGGCGTGAACGCGTGCTGGCGTCCGCAGAGCATCGGGGCGTGCGAGTTGCCCGCTGCATTTGCTGCACAACGTGGACGTGGTGACGTCGCTTCATTAGCTTGTAACGTAAATCGCCTCTACTCCATCCCTCCCTCGTCCTCTATCTGCCCCTATCTCATTTCCTGTCTCCCCGTCGCTCTCTCGGAGTGCAGCGCAGGACGGAGGAGTCGGCGCTGGATGAGCTGGACGCGGCGTCGTCTCCTCCGCTATCGGCGGTCGGCGACACAAACTCTCCCGGTGGCCTCGTCCACCAATCAGCCTCCTCCGCCATCACCGTCGCCGCCCCCCCATCCTCCTCCATCAACCCCATCTCCTCCCCATCCTCCTCCACCATCGCCACCGTCACCTCCCCATCCTCCACCATCACCTCCCCATCCTCCACCATCACCACCATCACCACCATCACCTCCCCATCCTCCACCATCACCACCATCACCTCTCCATCCTCCTCCACCATCAATGCCACCACCTCCTTATCCTCCACCATGGCCACAATCACCTCCTCATCCTCTTCCGCCATCACCGTCACCGCCTCCCCATCCTCCTCCATCAACGCCATCTCCTCCCCATCCTCCACCACCATCGCTACCATCATCTCCCCATCCTCCAACATTGCCAGCATCACCTCCCCATCCTCCACCATTTCTACCATCATCTCTCCATCATCTTCTGCCATCATCAACGCCATCACCTCCTCATCCTCCACCATTGCCACCATCATCTCACCATCCTCCTCCATCACCACCATCACCTCCCCATCCTCCACCGCCATCGCCACCATAACCTCGCCATCCTCCTCCACCATCGCTGCCATCACCTCCCCATCCTCCAACATTGCCAGCATCACCGTCCCATCCTCCTCTGCTATCACCACTATAACCTCCCCATCCTCCACCATCGCCACCCCATCCTCCACCATCACCACCATCACTTCCCCATCTTCCTCCTCCGCCATCAACACCATGACCTCCCAATCCTCCACCATCACCACCACCACCTCCCCATCACCCTCCTCCTCTGCCATCATAAACGCCATCACCTCCTCATCCTCCACCATCACCACCATCAGATCCCAATCATCCTCCTCCACCATCAATGCAACCACCTCCCCATCCTCCACCATGGCCACAATCACCTCCCCATCCTCCACCATCACCACCATCACCTCCCCATCCTCCTCTGCCATCACCACCATCACCTCCCCATCCTCCACCATCGCCACCATCACCCCCCCATCCTCCACCATCACCACCATCACCTCCCCATTCTCCTCTGCCATCACCACCATCACCTCCCCATCCTCCACCATCGCCACCATCACCTCCCCATCCTTCACCATCACCTCCCCATCCTCCTCTGCCATCACCACCATCACCTCCCCATCCTCCACCATCGCCACCATCACCTCCCCATCCTCCACCATCACCTCCCCATCCTCCTCTGCCATCACCACCATCACCTCCCCATCCTCCACCATTGCCACTATCACCTCCCCATCCTCCTCTTCAGCCATCAACACCATCACCTCCCCATCCTCCACCATCACCACCATCACCTCCCCATCCTGCACCATTGCCTCCCCATCATCCTCCTCCTCTGCCATCATCAACGCCATCACCTCCCTATCCTCCACCATCGACACTATCACCTCCCCATCCTCCTCCTCCGCCATCAACACCATGACCTCCCCATCAGCCACCATCACCGCTATTTCCTCCCCATCCGCCTCCATCGCTACCATCACCTCCCCATCCTCTTCCGCCATCACCACCATCACCTCCCCATCTTCCACCATCACCTCCCCATCCTCCACCATTGCCTCCCCATCACCCTCCTCCTCTGCCATTATCAACGCCATCACCTCCCTATCCTCCGCCATCGCGACCATGACCTCTCCGTCCTCCTCCGCTATCACCACCATTACCTCCCCATCCTCCACCGTCACCACCACCACCACCGCCACCATCGCCTCCCCATCATCATCATCATCCTCCTCCACCATCACCACGATCACCTCCCCACCCTCCCCATCCTCCGGCATCGCGGCCACCGGCCCCCCCTCGTGGCCTCACCGCCGCTCGGCGTCGTTGGGCGACCACGGTTGGCCGGGGACGCTGCCGGACGTCGACTCCGGGGGTGGTGGCGCCGCCGGCGCCGTGACTGCGGTGGTGCCGTGGCCGCGCCGGCGCTTCAGCCACTGGGGCCACGGGGCCCCCACCATCAAGATGTCCGCCCAGGGCATCGCGACCATCCGAGCGCTGCCCAGGGTGAGGGAAGGGGGCAGGGGGGGGGGGCAAGGGGAGCGGAGGGTGAGGGACGACCCCCGTCATGGTAGTGAGATGTTAACTACCTCGCCTGGTATACAGGAGGTTCTGGGATCGATTCCTACTATTATACCTGCATATTTGGAGTTTGCGTGTCTCTCTCCCCGTGGTCGCGTAGATTTTTCTCCGGGTTCTCCGGTTTTTCTCTCCACATTTATAATCAACATCACCACGCGTTTTGAGTTTTTGGATACCATAAATGTCAACGTGATCAACCACTTCGTTGAGCTATCATTTGTGGCCAGGTCACTTCTGAAAAAGAGCTACATAGCTCAGTGGGCCTCATCTGGTAAAATAAACATAGTTTAGCTTAGTTTTAGTTTACATGTGCGACTGCAGGTGGTGGTGAGCGGCCTTCCTTGGTAAAATAATGGCCCTCAGTCAACCTTTGCTCAGTGGGAGGTCGCTCATTCTCCTCTGCTGCACCCACAGTCTGGAACTCTCCTCCCAGCCGTGTGTGCTGCCAGCTTCCTGCCCCGGTTCGAGGCCACACTCAAGGCTGTGCCCTTGCGCTCTGCCCGTGGGTGACTGCGTGCCTCTTGCTATGAAGTGAATAGAAAATGAACGTGGCCACTCATTCTGTACAGCGCCTTGAGGCGCTTTGCTGTCCTCAGTGGGTGCTCGCTTACAGCACTCGCCCCGGCAGTCTGATGAAAGCTACATGGGGATCAAGCGTGTCTCTCTTGTATGTGAGCGCGCTTATGGGGAGCGGTAGCGTCGCGGTTAGCGCGCTGCGCTACCAATCCGGCACTCCGGGTTCCATTCCCGCTCACGGCCAACACCAATGACGATTATCTGAATCGGTCCTGGGCCACTCCTAGGTAGACTCAGCCTCAAATGAGTACCTGGTGCGATGTGTAGACATCACCACTGGGGAGACAAAGGCGGCCGGGCGTGGTGCTGGCCGGCCACCCCCTCGTGTGCCGTGCTGGCCTACGTAGGTGCTCACTAACAGCACTTGTCCCTACAGTCTGTTACAGGTGTAGAGGTGATACGCGCTGGGATTAGAGATCGTATGCCAGCGCGTAATGATTGGCTGTGTAGGTGGTGACGTGCGCTGACGGTGGAGGATCAGGGGTCAGCGCGGGGTCGTGGGTTACGGGGTACTGATTGGCTGTGGACGGGTGACGTGCTGAGAGGGAGTGATCGGGTGGCAGCGCGGTGTGATTGGTGGAGGAGTGTTAACACGCGCTGGGGAAAACGGATCGTAGAGAGAGTGCGTCATGATTGGTTCATTAAGGAGCGATGCTCACGTTGAAGTACGCATCAGCTCCGCCTCTCGTGAGCAGGGGCTATAAAAGGGGATGCACACAGGCGCGAATGCAGTGTGTAACCAGCGAAGAATGAAGATGGGGATGAAGACCTAGGGCCCTGCGGTACCTAGTCCCGCTGTCCTAACGGGACCGGGACTCTGTGTAACCCAGAGGCGAGTGTAGTGTGTGTAGCCATAGGCATAAGGTCTACACGAGCCGAATGCAGTGTGTGTAGCCAGGGACATAGGGTCTACACGAGTCGAGTGTATTGTGTAGCCAGAGGCGTAGGGTCTACACGAGTCGAGTGTATTGTGTAGCCAGGGACATAGGGTCTACACGAGTCGAGTGTATTGTGTAGCCAGGGACATAGGGTCTACACGAGTCGAGTGTATTGTGTAGCCAGGGACATAGGGTCTACACGAGTCGAGTGTATTGTGTAGCCAGAGGCGTAGGGTCTACACGAGTGAAGGGTATCGTGTGTAGCCAGAGGCCTAGAGTTTACACGAGAGTAGTGGAGTGTGAAGTCGGAAGAAAGGAGACTACACGTTGTATTTTGATACGTAAAGATTTAATAAAAGTGTGTTCCCGTCAAGAAGTTCCTGCCGTCAATTCCCATACTTCACAGGCTATACGGGGGATCTTTGCCTTGTCTGTTGCATGTGTGTGGCCTTCATGGTGCCCAGCCCAATAGTCAGCTCAGGCTACACGGGGGATCAATGTCTTTGTGTGTGTGCGCGTGTGTGTGTGCGTGTGTGCGTGTGTGCGTGTGTGTGTGTGTGCGCGTGTGTGTGTGCGTGTGCGCGCGTGTGCGTGTGTGTGTGCGTGTGTGTGTGCGTGTGTGCGTTCGTGTGTGCGTGTGTGCGTGTGTGTGCGCGCGTGTGCGTTCGTGCAGGCCAGGATCCACCTGCGGGTCTCCCGCTCGCCCCTGATGCACGCTGACCGCTGCCCCAACTCCCTGGCCTCTCCGGGCGGCGAGGGCCTCAACGACCTCGCTTTCGTCTGCTAGCGCCGCCGTCTCCTCGATCCTGGCCCTGCGTGACCTCGCTTGGCCCCACGTGACCCCACGTGACCTTACGTGACCCTGGCCGTGCGTGACCTCGCGCGATCCCGGCTCTACGAGACCTCGTGCGACCTCGCACGACCTCTCGCGACCTCACGTAACCCCTGGCCCCGCGCCATTCCGCGTGGCTGCAGGGGCTGCCAGGACGGCAGAAGAGGAGAGGCACCACGAGTAGCTCCATCATCGGGACTCCTCACGTCCTCCGGGAAAACGGACTGAAATTCCCGCAACTGCCGTTGCCTCCTCGATGGGTGTCGACCCCCCGATTGTTCCATGCGAAGCCGGCGTTTCGCTGGGAGCTGCCCTGCGCCCGTCCCTGTCCCGACGATTGTGCCGACTCCACCAGGCACACGCGCTTAATGGACGGAAGACTCGGATGCTGCGTCGTGCTGCGCTGCGAGAGTATCGATCTGCGACCGAGCGCCGTTTAATTTTCTAGTTTCTCGTCGGGGCGAGCACGCGAATGACCGCGAGCTCCAGACTACAACTAAACTATAAACCAATTTCTTTTTTATTTTACCAGGTAAGGTCCACTGAACTACATAGATATTTTTCAGAAGCGACCTGGCCATCACAAATGATAGCTCAACGAAGTGGCTTATCACGTGGAAATTTATAGCAGCAGCCAAATGCTCTAAATGCGTGATGTCGATTCTAAATGTGGAGAGAAAACCGGAGGACCCGGATAAAAATAATCCACGTGACCACGGGGAGAGAGAGACACCGCAAACTTACGAGACCTCCTGTATACCAGGCGAGGTAGTTAACATCTCGACCGAGTTAACGCCGAACTGCCCAGGGGACCCATCTCGCTCACTAGCGGTTCCTGGCGATTCTTGGCGGGTTCATGGGCAAGACGTCTGTCGCTTCGCTGGGAGCTTCCTCTGAATTCCAGTTCCTGTACGGGCGTGCATTCCGGGTGATTTGGTCATGCCTTAAGTATTTATATACAGTATATATTAAGTAATCATGGATTTTGTTACACGGAAATGAACGCTACGCGGCGTGTCGCTGCATAAGCGTTTTGATTGCCATTCGCTAACTATGACCTGATTGTGTTCGCGTTCTAACGAGATCCTCGGCCGGGTGATTTGTGTTCGTGGCCACCACGAGTGGCGGTAGAACACGGCTCTGGTGACGCGTGATTCAGACCGTGCGTCATCACACTTTACTTTGGTTACTTGAACAAATAATCTCAGGTCACTTTGACAGCAGGGGAGCCTGATTTTACTTCTCTGCATTGCGTTTGCTTCATTGTTTCATGAAAATGATGGACCCAATTTCAAAGCAGTTGCTTTCACGATGGCAATATGTTACAATTAAACAAAAAGTTACAAACGGTTTAATGGGTTATCAAGTTTTACTAACCATTTTATAAATGCTCTATGTGCCCTCCACCTGCTGTACGGACAACATCGAGACGATAGTTGAATTAGTCCCAAACGCCTCTCAAAGTGTCTTCTTCCACTGAAGTCAGCGCTGCCGTGATTCTGTTTTTGAGGTCATCCAGATTATTCGCTAATGGTGGCACAAAAACACGGTCTTTGACGTATCCCCACAAAAAAAGTCGCAGGGTGTGATGATGTCTGGGGATCTTGGGGGCCAGGAGTGTAGCGCCAAGTCTTGGGGTCCCCTGCGACCTATCCAACGTTGAGGCAGTGCGTCTTGCGAATGACTGAGGCTAGGGGCTGTTTGTGCGCTGGGAGAGGCATCTAGCGGTAATCATTTGAAACTCTATGCCCCGCCCTCTCTATGCCCCGCCCTTTCAAGTGGTAAGAGTTGCATTCATGGGCGGTTCGTGGTTGCAGAGAAATAGCGATTTCAAATTGGGTCCATCTTTTTTAATCACCCGATATTATATTTAAAAAAAGTTTTGCTGGCTGGCTTCCTGCCTCGCTGTCTGACTGGTGCACAACTGCGGGTGCGCGGTGGCGGTGTCGCCGTGTACATCCACGTGATGACGTCACCTGCATCCAAAAGCGTTGAGCTGGGTTTGTGCATTGCGCCGACGTCTTGCCTCCCTCACCCTCCCACCCACCCTTCTAACCACTCTCCACCATAGCCGTGTATCCCGCACAAACGTGGGGGATGTGTTATCATGCAAGCATATCATATGCTAAAATCAACAAACGTTTTTTTCTGGCTGGCTAGCTGGAGGGAGGGGGGGGATGGACGGACGGTCACATCCAAAAGGAGGTGTGGGCTGCCCGTTATTATTTTAAACGATGCAATTATTTACAGCACTTTGTCAATCCGCTGCTGAATGAAGGCCTCTCCCCGCGCCGCACAGTACGAGTTGGTAAAGGGAGGCGGGGGAGGGCGCGGGACTTGTGTAAGTTATCACCCGCCACTGATGTTAGCCGTGGCGGCGCCGGGAATTGAACTCGGGTTGCCGTATGTTCCTCAAGCAGAACGGACTGCAAGGAACCCGTTGTCCCCTAATCCAGGGGGGACCGGCAACCAAAATAACAAGAGCACTTTTATATTTAGAATTGGGTTCCTTGATGAGCCCGCACAATGCTGCGGAGCCGCAGGTTTGCCAACCCCTCGTCCTTGCTCCGGTGACGGTTTGCCCGATTCTCAAGTGGTGCGTCACCTTTGCACAAGTCAACACACTGCACGATCCATTTAGAGACACCTCACTAAATCAATGATCGGGGGACGCAACGTGTACCGTGCTGGCCTTCACAGGTGCTCGCGAACAGCACTTGCCCCCACAGTCTGTTAAGGCTATGACGGGGGACCTTTGTCTTTGTATCCTTGCAATATAACGTTTTAAAGAGTTGTCCGCAATGCAGTTTTATACTGAGATAAAATCGCAACCCTATTATTATTACTACGACTACTGGATATGCGGACATTGCATTATGCGATGAACGGCACTGACGGTTTTACCCTGGCACTGGCGCTTGAGAATTATCTTGGCGAATGCACGTCACCTTGCCTGACCGATACATAGTGTCGGGCTGCTGTGGCGCTGTTCAAGTTGGGTTTGTGTAACCAGGAGGCCAGGATAGAGTCTCATTTAGCAACGGTGACCTGGGGGGGCATTGGTCTGCTGCCAGAAGGCGGGCGATGATCGCTGCTCTGCGTGCGATCCCACTGGGGTAACTTGGCGGCATGAATCCTGGAATGGAGTAAATTGTGGAGCCTGACGGAGGCACACAGTGGCCGTCCACTCTTGCCAATGACGTGAATGGGATCTGTAAAACGTCGATGGTGGAGTGGACGGCGCGTGGCGTTATTAGGGCCAATACACTGGCAGTATTAATCGGGACGGCCGCTCGATATCGAAACCGCGAGCGTCTGCAACAATGCGACTTCAAGCCCCCCGTCTCTCGCGACTGCCATGACCGCTGCCTGCGCCAGTCCATCCCCAATGTTGCCGCAACGTCATTTATCTCGTGCCTTTCTCTGGGAGTTGTGTGCCTCGACGGACTCTGTGCTGTGATGAAAATAAATGAAGTGTTCGGAGCCTCGTGTGTGTGTAGTGCCCCGTTTGCCGAAGTTGTAACTGTTCCCGGTGGAACGAGGCGTTTTGGTGAGGCACGGTTAAAGCCGTTCGGAACGGGAGAATCGCAACGTCTGTACGGTGATTCGTAAATTTGGTTTGTGTGTGTAAACCCTCCTCCACCCGACGCAGCCAATTAATAAAAGTGTCGCGTAAATCAAACGTGGCCAGATGTATGTGTTGGGGCCGCTGGCCCCCGCGGTCCCTCCTTGCTGCTCGCCGACGGCAGGGGTTCCGTCGTTTGCCGACCCCTCGCTGGTCTGCGACCAGCTGCTGCCGTCGCTGGGCTCATCGCCCGACGGCTCCCTTCTCTGGTCCACCCCTCCGTGAGCTCGCGTGAGAGGCATAGCTCGTCGCCTGCTCTCGTTCACCTGTAAACGCTGCGTTGTCTCTCCTTCAAGCACACGCTCTGAACGGGGTCAGGGGTCGGAGGGCGAACGACGCTGTCCTCACACCGCGTGAGTCCCTGCGGCGATAGACGGAGCGGATACCTGCGGACGCACCGACCCCCCCCCCCACGCTACGAGCGCACACACCTGCACACAGCACCAAGCGCTTTCACTCACTCGTAAGACCACTCGAGGCTGCGCTGGGTTATTAATGGTTTATTCTCGGCGACTGCGCTTTACTGTTGGGTCGGTATCGATCGGCGTGGCAGGCCTACGTTATCGTCCCTGGGTCTGTACCCGATCTATCGGAGGGATATATTCTAGGCGGCTCTGGACTCTCTAGTCTCTTTCCCAATACCCCCTTTCCACTTACGATTAGGTGCACACGGCGTTCCGCTGATCCCGTCCTCACTGCGTACCTCGATGCGTCGCACGGACGTCCGAGTCGCTGGGCTGGAGAGCGTCTCGTGGCCTGATTCCGGAGCAAGAGAACCTCCACCTCGCTACATCCGCTTTTTATGCTATCTCCCCGTCCCCAGGGCTCCGCCTCCCCAGCCCTCTTCGCTCTTGCGGCCCTTACGCGCGGCGTGCATTCTAAATTAGTCCCATTCTCATGCTCCTCCATAACAATGCTTATGCGCGGCGCTTATTGTAATGATGCTCCTCCATAACAATGCTTATGCGTGGCGTGTATTCAAATTAGTCCTATTCTTATGCCCCTCCATAATAATGGGTGGTCGGTTTGACCGCGCCGGTGCACGGCGCCTTTGTCATGCCAATTAGCCGTCTCGCTCCTCCTCTGCCTGCCTCATCGATACGTGTGTGTGTGGGGTGCGTTTCAACCGCGGTGGCCGAGTGGCCCCTCGCCGCGACCATGCAATCTTAATGCCGGTCACAGCGCCGCGGTGCGAATTAGCATAGGGGGAGGTCGTCCAATTCCCTGGCCGCAGGAAACCGTGAAGATTATCCCGGTAAGGGCTTCTTGGGTGAAAACCGGTCAGCCAGGTGACCTCCCCTCGGAGCTCTATGGGGGGGAAATGCGTGCGGGTGTGTTTATGTGAGGTGAGGGGGAAGCGGGGTTGGCTCCGTCGCTTGGTGGTGGCGAGGTCGTAGATGGGGCGCCCGCCGAGCGGCTTCGTGGCGGCGGCATCACATATGACTGGATCAGCAGCACCGCGGGTGTTGTTGCTGGAGAGAAATCTGATAACATCTAAATGGGTACCGATGTATCGCTGGAGATCACATCCAGCATCATCAGGTTGCTAAACAGGAGCTCAGCTCTATGGATTAAAGCACTTCCTGATCCGGGTCCTGAAGTAGATGCCATGACGTCATCGACAGTCAATCACGTGCTCTAATTTAATAATTAATTGATTGCTAGTTGATAGGTTGTGACTGGCAATGTGGCTCTTGATAATATTGAAGGTTTTTTTTCACCGAATTCGGAAAAAAATGTCTCTTCTTGTTATTTTGGTTGCCGACCCCTGGGTTGGTGTATTAATGTGAATGATCACTTTAACGTTGTTATCCGTGTAAATGTCGCGTGATTCCTCTCCAACAACAACACGGGGTGGTGCTCCTGAAGCAGTGACACATGTGGCCACGTTTCATTCACGTGACAACGTTTATGAATTGGCTGTGTCGGGTGAGGAGGGTGTGTACGACACAGATTTTTTTACACGACGACCGAAACCCAAAATAATCATAATATTGGTCGTGAAAGTCTGCGTATAAACGTTAGGGTCATTTGTGGAAAAGAGTGACGAACAGATGCTTACAGTCACGTGATGTTCGTTTGTGGCTGTTTACCTGAAAGCAGATGTCATAGAACTACTTCTTAGAGCCATTTAAGTGACCTCTGATTTGAACAAGAGAGCGAAACAATTTCCCCACACAGAGTGAATGCTCATCACGTAACGGTCAATCCCCTAGGTTTCATCCTCACAGCTGTAATTCATCCGCGATAAACGGCAGAGCCAAATTTAACACTGTACATGAGAACCTGGTTCAATCACAACTCAGTCTGTGTGAGTCCATCGGTCTCTAGGTGAGTCTTTGGAACTCCATGTGAGTCTATAGGTCTCTATGTAAGTCATTGGTGACCGGGCTGAGACAATCAACTCGGTGCTCTGGTTTAATCACAATTATTTGAGTCTATGGGTCTCTGTGTGATTCTTCGTCTCTCTATGTGAGTCTGTATGTCTCTATACGAGTCTTTGGATCTCGATGTGAGTCTATGGGTCTCTATGTGGCTCTATTGGTATTTATATGAATCGTTGATGGCCGGGATTAGACCATAAACTCACTGCCCTTGAGAACCCCGTGGATTAATCGCAAGCGGGTGGGTGGCTGCCTGGAGTCGAACCCAGGTTCTCAGTGGGCTCGGCCCTCTGCCCTCTGAGCCATCTCATCAGCGCGCTCTTCAGCAACAAAAACAAAACAACCCGCACGGCTTCAATGTTCTGAGTGTCATCAGCAGGGTACGGCTACGCAACGTGCCGCGTTGCTTTAACGCTCGAAACGGTTGTGGAGGGTTACAGCGAACGTAGAGAATTTAGCAGGCCTTCACGACGTGCTCCTCCTCCTCCTGGAAGGCACAGCAGTGTCCAGCGCATCGCCTTCGTGAATGAAAAATGAAAGACACAAGCCACGGATATCAGTGCGAGTGTGGCCATGCAACCCAACACAATGGGTCACATTGTAAACCCACAGAGATACGGATAGGCAATCAATGATGAGTGTCTTTGTAATGCGGAGCGCCCGGAGAAAACCCACACGTAACGTTCTGTTCCTCCCCCGTACAGACGGAAACAGATGGATATTAACTTGCTGTACTGCCATCTCCTGGCGAGCCGGGGCATGGCGCTCTTCCTCAACGTCTACGTTGAAGGGAGTTTCACAACCCATCTGTGCGTGACCCACTGCTGGATGAGAGTCTCGCCACGCCACGTGGGATTTCACTTGGCCATACTTCACCGCGCTGGTCAGTGCGGGTTGGTGAAGGCAGGGAGCGTCGGAGTAGAGTACAACGATGAATTGTGTTGTACTGCCCGCGGCCTCCTGCCATTGCATGCGTGCGGTGATCCAACAACCCTCGTGGCAGCTGCTACTGCTGCTGCTGACCTCCAGGGGCCACGTGCGTGTAGCCGCCACCGATGAGTGGGTCTGGAACGCTGTGGCCGCCGTGAGTCAGGATGGCCGAGCGGTCTAAGGCGCTGCGTTCAGGTCGCAGTCTCCCCTGGAGGCGTGGGTTCGAATCCCACTTCTGACAGTACTTTTAATTTTTTTTTATTTCCACTAAAATGTGATAACCGTGCTCACTTCATATTTAAGAACAAAAGTCTAAATTTACAGCGGTCCTCACGGCAATAATTCCAATGTCACTCTTCGTCGAGTACAATAACCGTAGTTTCTTAACTAACTTTATCCTGTAAATCATCTCACAAAGTGGCCCAGCTGGGGGAAGCCCCCTCGGGCGGGAGGTCGCGGGCGGGGGGGGGTGCATTGAAGCGTGATGACGTCAGACGCGCGGGCTCAGCCAATGGGGGAGCCCGAGGGGGGTCGGTGGGAATTCCTTTCCGGGTGCGCGCCGCCACTCCACGTGGTTGTTGTTGGAAGCGGCGGCGGCGGTGGTGAAGGGGATGGCGGCCGATGCAGGAGGAGCGGTAGGGGCTGGAGGGGCGACAGGCGGCCGGCAGGAGCAGACGGGGCCGGCAGGCCAACCGGGAGACGCGGCTCCCAAGCCCAAGGACCTCTACCGAGACACGTGGGTGCGCTTCCTGGGTAGGTGGAGTGGCTTCTACACACACAGTGGCTCCCAACTCCGCGCCTCCGCTGACCTTCATGCGCTCGGAATGCAAAGGGCCGACGGCCCGAAACGTCGTCGCCTGTGTGTGGGCTTTCGCCGTGTCAGGCGCGGCAGGCTCGTTGCCGAGTGTGTTGAGTTCGTGTGTGTCGCGTTGTGCCCTTGGCGTCGCTGCCAACGCCGTGCGGCCAACTCGGTGCGCACTGGCCTTGTGCAGGAGCGCAACTTCAACGCACTCTTCGTCAAGAGTGTGTAAAGCCTTGACACTCTCAAGATATATATGTAAATACTAGGTGACGTTTCTGGCAATGGGCCTTCTTCATTGTGCAGGACATCAATCGAGCCCACCCTCGACTCCGGAGCGCGTCCGTGTGCTTCAACTGTTTGAGGGCCGAGTGTTCGCCGAGGCTGTGCCTTACAGTGCTGGACAGAGAAAGACAAAGACGCGCGTGGTACACAACGAGTTAGGGTTGTACTGTACAGGGTGGTCCAGATGTCTTGTGACCCCCCCCCCCCCCCCCCCATTCGGTGACCCCTAACATTGTTTTCTGCTTCCATATTCATTTCTGCTTTTAAATCAGACCATACTGTACTGTAAGAACCCGATGAGCTGTAAAGCTCTTTTTCACGGATGCCCAACAATTAAACCTTAACTTTAAAACTATTTTCAGTTTTAGAGCATTTATTTTGGAGGGTGGGGGGGGGGGTCACAAGACATCTGGACCACCCTAGTATCGTCCGCTGCTGAGTGGCGACTTGCCCCACGCCCAGCCACTGCGCTCCGCTCGCCATACTTCACTGCGCTCGTCACTGCGCCACGAAGAAGGCTGCGCTGGGGGTCGGGGGGGGGCATCATAGAAGTTACCGTCTTCACGTCTGCCTTTTGACTGTCGCTTGAAGGTAATGGGTCTCCTTGTGACAATGTGCGGAGTTGGTGCGAGCGCGTGGTTCTCGAGCCGTGGGGGGCACCGTGGCAATGTCCCAGGTGCTAAAAACGTGAGGTGCTTTATAAATGTGTGAAGTTATGTCACGTATGAAGCTGCCAATATGAAATAACTACCGCGACTATACTCTCTGGTTCTTTCAGTAAAGTCACGTAGATAGAAACATTTATAAAAGAACACGTCGTGAATTCTTACAGCCACAACTCTACAAACCCCCCCCCCCCGTGCCTACATAAAGCCACAACAGCAAATCATTATTTCTCACCTGATGACGTACGCTTGTGTTGCGACCGAAACGTCGTGTTCTTTTATGATTTTTTTCTACCCACGTGACTTTACCGAAAGAACCGGAGAGTATATGTATTCCTGCAGTCACGAAAGCTTCAAATCAAGAACTGCCGTGACGTTTTAATCTATATGGTAGCCTAGAACGATATAACATCCACCTCATCATTAGACCTCCTTTGCCAGTACCAAAATATAACAATAGGGTTTTTCCCATTTTTTCTGGCAATAAAAAAGGTTTCAGTTTTGTTGCCAAAAAAAGGGGAAAATCCTATTTTTATATAACATCCATTTATAAACTCACTGATCGTGAACAATGTAATTTCCAAAACTAAGCAGAGAGCACCAACACATTCCGTCACGCGTGCAGAACGTCCATTGAATGTTCGTTTTATTCGCTTGCAGTTACCAGCTAGTTAGGATATGCCTCACAGTGCTTGAGGATAATGAACATACTGTAATGAACAATGTACAGAGTTGCTTAGAGCAGTGATTCTCAACCGGGGAGGTGACGGGTACCGTGGGAATGTCCCAGGTGGTAACAACGTGAGCTCATTTTTAAATGTGTGAAATTATGGCACACGTGTGAGTCATCGGTGAATAATCACGTATGAAGCTGCCAATATTAAATAACTACCGTAACATTTAAATCCCTATGGTAACTTACGACGATATAAAAGTATTTTCTAAACTCACTGATCGTAAAAAATCTGGTTTTCAAGAGTAACCAGCGAGCGCCAACAAATTCCGTCACGTGTGCAGAGCGTCCGTTGATTTTTTGTTTTTATTCGCTTGCGGCTACTTGGCTACTTAGCTAGTTTGGATGCCGGTCCTCGAGGGGCTAGGTGAGCGCTGATCGACAGCGCTGGATGGCACCACGCTCGGCGTGCAGTGCCGGCCCCTACAGGATGGGGTGTGGGAGTACCGGCCATGGGAATGGGGTTACTCGAGGCCGTGGCACTCTGGTTGACCCCACAGGGCCCCCAGGTGGGGGCTAGGTGTGGTCACGTGTCAGGGTCGAGATCCTGCTCGAGGATTCTGGAAGGTGGGCGTGGCCAAGGGCGGGGCCAGCCACGCCACAGAGGATATAAGCCGGGTCCCCCAGAGGGACCGGCGCTGCTGTTCATCCTGAAGAAATCTTCCGTCTACGTGGTTCGACCCAGCAGTGGATTGACCCAAGGCTGTGTCGGTGACTGACGCCGACGACCGGATTGTAAACTGCAGTGGAAGCTGCGGTGGCAATGCGTGCCTTCGGTTATCCAGTGTAGACTATCAACGCTTACAATCTGAAGCCTCTTAGGAACACACACGTCTGGCATGACGACCCCCCTGGGTGACAGATGAACACAGCACCGGTGTCAAGACGATACCCACACAGCCGAAGGTATATGAACATATGAAGGGCACTGTCCAGCTGTTGGGATAGTCACACAAGGCAAGCCTACAAAGGCTGTTGGGGCAAGTGCTGCTATCGAGCACCAATGAAGGCCGGAAAACGGCACACAAAGCGGGTGGTTGTGGCTAGCACCGCTCCCGGCCGCCTCTCCAGTGCACACGCCGCACCATGTGCTCATTTAAGGCTGAGTCGACCGACGGAGAAGTCTGGGACGGGTCCAGATGTTTGCCACTGAGGTTGGCAGCGGGTGGGAATCTTAACTCGTGTCGCTGGGTTCGTAGTTCAATGTGGTGCTAACCACTGTGCCACCGCTCTCCCCACACGTGGTCTCGTCCTAGCGCCCGTGACATTGCGAAAGGGCAAGGCTCGGATTGCTCGCGCTGCACGGCGCCTGTTGTGGATTGCGCAAGAGACCAGCTGGATTGCGCAAGAGTCCAGCTGGTTATGGGCAACCTGGGGCCGGCTTCACATGCAACGTGCACTGCAGTGCAAGAGCTCTCGGCCTCGTCTCGACCACCAGCTCAACGAGAATGAGATAATGTGACCATCCTGAATGGGCAGTCGTGAAACAAAGACACAACTGTAGACTGGTTTTGTTCTCATTAGGAGTAATCTGTATTGATAGGGGGCTATGCTGATGAGTCCTAAAGAGGATGAAGCCGGTCTAGAGTTATGTCTTTGTATCGCTGCTGACTGTTGGGACGGCCACACTTATCTCGTCTCTTAGAGCTGGTGGCCCAAACGACAGCATTGACACACACGCTCAGTTCTCTGGAACTGGTGGTCTGGACAAGGCTTGTGTTTGTGTGCAATGCTGGACACCTGTGTTCGTTTCTGAATGAGATGGGGTTTCCCGTCATTTACCCATGGAGACTCACACTTGGAATTACCCAGAATGCACCAGAGTTCGCCAGGCCTCGCAATCTAAGCGGTGCCGAGATGTTAACTACCTCGCCTCGTATGTAGAATATCGTGGGTTCGATTTCGACCCTGATGCCTGCTGTATATTTGGAGTTTGTGTGTCTCTCTCTTCCTGTGGTCACGTGGATTTTTCTGCGAGTCCTCCGGTTCTTCCACCCCACATTTAGAATCAACATCCCACGTTTAGAATAATTTGGTGCTGTAAATTTCCACACGATGATAGGCCACTTGGTTGCGCTACCAGGCCGCTTCTGAAACAGAGCTACATAGCTCAGTGGGTCTTACCTGGTAAAAATAAAAAGTTTAGTTTATTGTCCGGACGATACGGCCAGAGTCGTCCTGGTGCGATCATGGGTTAACGTCGAGGGTCTCTTGCAGTTGGCATGGGACCTGGTGCAATGGGGGGGGGCCCCACAGACCCGCGGGCTCCGTGTGCGGTTGGTTGCACCACCTGCGCGCTCCTCGCCGGCTACGCCACTGGCGCTCTGCTCTCTCTCCTCCCGTTCCCTCGTGCGCAGGGTACGCCAATGAGGTGGGCGAGTCGTTCCGCGCGCTGGTGCCCGTGTCCCTGGTGTGGGCCACGTACGGCGTCTCCATGGCCTACGTGACGGCCGACGCCATCGACAAGGGGAAGAAGGCGGCCCAGGTGGGTGATGACGGTGGTGTTGGCGGTGGTGGCGGCGGCGACGCAATGGGTTTGGTTCTGTGACTCGGGTGGAGTGTTTGCCCGCCGCTCACCACCACGTGCAGCCGCACATGTAAACTAAAACTAAGCTAAACTGTTTTACCAGATGAGGCCCACTGAGCTACATAGCTTTTTCTCAGAAGTGACCTGGCCACAAATGACAGCTCAATTAAGTGGTTTATCACGTGGACATTTATAGCAGCCAAATACTCTAAACTCGTGATGTGGATTCTGAATGTGGAGGGAAAAACCAGAGGACCCAGAGAAAAATCCACGTGACGACGGGGAGAGAACATGCAAACTCCAAATATACAGCAGGCGTCAGGGTCGGGATCATACCCACGACCTCCTGTGTACAAGGAAAGGTAGCTAACATCTCGCACCGTGGCCGCCATGGTCACCCAGCACCCGCGCCGATCACCGTGTCGATCGCTGCGTCGCATCCGCCGCTGCAAAGCGTTGCCGCGCTGTATTGCAGAGGCACCCGGAGGGTGGCAGGAAGGGCCCCGTGACGGTGGCCGTGGTGGACACCTTTGTGTGGCAGGCGCTTGCCTCGGTGGCCGTCCCCGGCTTCACCATCAACCGGCTGTGCGCGGCGTCGCTCGCGGTGCTCAGCCGCACCACACGCTGGCCCGCGCCCACACGCAAGTGGGTCACCACGGCCATCGGCCTCTCCGCCATCCCCTTCATCATCACGCCCATCGACAGGTTGGTGGGTCGGTCAGTAACGGATAACTGGGTTGGTTAGTTGAGTGGTCGGTCAGTGGGTTGGTCACTTGTCCGGTTAGTGGGGGGGTTTGTTGGTTGGGTAGTCGGTCAATTGATCGGTCGGTCGGTCGGAGAGTTGTTTGGTCAGTGGGTTGGTTAATCAGTCGGTTGTTCGGTGGGCAAGATGATAGTCCGGTTGTTTGGTCAGTGAGAGTCAGTCGCTTGGTCAGTTGGCTGAGCTCTTGGTCCATCGGTCGCTCCATCTCTATGAACTTTATTTACAACTGGGCGAGTGCCCATGATTGCAACACAAGTAAGTATATATGGATGTAGAAATTCTTATGCACTGTACATAGCCAACCGTGCTAATCGGCGGTGCGGGGGAAGGAAAGCAAACTTAACACAAAAAGCCTTTACAAAGAAATTTGTTTTCTATTTAGATTTAAACGTGTTCGGTTTAATGACGATTGCTCAGTAAATGCCGTGACCGAGCGAGAGACATGGTGCATAGGAGAGCCCCTTAACCCAACTTAATCTGCCACGGGCACGATTGCAATTATATTTGGTTGTAAAATGACAAAATAACCCGAAACATTGCGTGTGCTTTATTAATAATTATTGACAGCCTCTTTCCAATGGAGCGGGGGTCGTTTCAAATCGGCCGTAGACCGTTCGGAACGGCACAGATCTTGCTGAGAGAGAGAGAGCGCGAGAGGGTTCCACGCGCGATGCGGAGCGGAACAAACGGTGGAGCGTGCGGTCAACCGCCTGTCGCGACCACTGAACGGGGTCACCGGAGCGATCCGCCGGCTTCTCAGCCAGCGCCGTCGGACGGCTCAACAACCCGAACGCCGATTTATAGAATTTTTTTTATTGCTGCTCTTCCAAAAATCGGATGCTTTGTCCCTTGTGACACGCGCAGGGGTAGCGGACTGTCGAATCGACGGGGAGGTCATTATCCAGCAGCGCGTGGAACACGGCTGCCACTCTCTAAGGCGCCGGACGTTTTTGTTCCGTTGCAGGTCCGTGGACTACGTTCTGGACTCTACCGTCCGGAAGCTGTATGGCGGAGGGGAGCACGGGGGAGAGGAGAAGTCGCAGCACAAGGACGACTAAGGGACAGCCTGGTGTGCAGTGCGGGGGTGGGGTAAGGGGCGGGGGTGGTGTGCGGGGGTGGGGTGAGGGGTGGGGGTGAGGGGCGGGGGTGGGGGGGGGAGCTTGTGATCGCAGGACAGAAATTCTCAAGCAGTTCACAATTTGTACCAAGGTGGAAACTACTAATTTCCCTTTAAGAAAAAAATATTCCTCCCAAAAGTGAAAATTGGCAGTGATTGCAGAAATGTGGTGATTGTCGCCTTTCTGCCAGCGCGTGGTTCGTGTCGCGTTACACTGGGGTCAAAGCCTCCTCATTGGTGCCAAGGCCTTCGTTTGTGAATGTCAGATGCGTGGCCGTGTTCTCAGTCACGGCTTGGCTCAGCCTCTCAACGCCACCCAGCTCAGGCTCCAGCCGCTCGGTCGTGCATCCAACGTCGCACGAGGAAGCGGCTCAGCCGTGGCTCATGGCTCAGGGCTCCGGCTCAGCCGTGGCTCGGGGCTACGGCTCGGCTGACACCATGGCTCAAAGGCGGCTCAAGTCGAGTGCGGCGGCAGCTTTGAGCCGGGGTGGTGACTAAGGACACGGGTTCGCATATCAAGAGTTGCCTTTTGTTACTCACGATGGCAAATAATGTTACAAGCACTTAAGATGTAACTCTAAGCAATTTAAACACTAATATTAACAAGAAGGCAATTTTTTGTATAGATTCGTGGAGCTTTTTCTGTGAAGACGACAGCTGGTTAGACTTGTGGGTTTACACGGGGTGCTCGGAGTAGCCACGTGACTAGCACCGCGTCGTGTGAGCACAGCTACGATCGAGCGGCTCTGATGCCAGGACCACCACAGCCCAAGAACCGTCGAGCAGTGGCTGCAGTTACTGCACGTCGTAGGGTTGGAAATCTCTGCAAACTGACAGCAATAGTGAACGTTGACAACTGATACACGACTACAACTGCACTGTGGGATGAGCAGCAACTAAAGGCACAATCCACATTTACGCGGCAGTCCTCGCCACGGTGGCGAGGAGATGTTATCTCCCTCGCCTGGCGAGCATGAGGTCGTGGATTCAATCCCGGACTCTGGCGATGCCTGCTGTTGTATGTGTTTTCTCTCTTTCCCCGTGGTGGTCGTAACATGGATCGTTCTCCAGTTTCCTCTGGTTTTGCCCTCCACATTCAGAATCATCGTGTGTCTAGATTATTTGGCTGCAACTATAAATTCCCGCGTGCGATGATGATATCATCCACTGCGACGATGAGAGCAATCCTCGCATTGTGGCCAGGTCGCCTCTCAACAAGAGCTACTTAAATTTCGATTTAAAGCTTCCGTGACTGCAGGAATTCATATTCTTGGTTCTTTCGGTAAAGTCACGTAGAAGGGAAAAAAAATACAATAATAAAAAGAAAACAATAAAATTCTCACGACGTTTCGATTGCAACACAAGCAATCATCATCAGGTGTGAAAACTACGGCAAGAAAATTTGAAAAAAGTGGAGAGAATTTTATGTTTTTTTTATTGTCTTTCCCTTCTACGTGACTTTACCGAAAGAACCAGGAATAAGAGCCACATGGCTCGGTGGGCTTTACCTGCTGAATGTCAATAGAATAGTTCAGGGTTTGCCAGCTTTTGTGATCGGCTGTCAAAACGTCCACAGGTGGAACCTCGACGGTCGAAGTGGGGAGCTCTTTTCACAGTCCTCATAATGTGTTTGGATATCAACACCGGTCAAGGTTTTTCCATTCCAGCTGACAATAAGAATTGGAAGTCTTATTTCCTGAGTAAAGCCCATTGAGCTGAGGAGCTCTTTTTTCGAGGGCGACCCTGAGCCAGTGGTGGCAATTCCACATTACCATGGCTGGGGGGAAAGTCTATCCATAGGAATAGCAGTAGTAACTCCTCCATAATCCTGTACTTATTTTATCGACCCACGAAGAATGATTGGCTGAGTCAGCTCGCTAACTATGATTTTAACTCCCAACATTCCGATTGCTGCGAGCCACATGGTCAGAAAATCCAGCACTCTTTTGCCGTGCAACATTGCATTATGGAACAAACATGGAATAAAAAACCACGCATATGCAAGGATTCTAGGTCCCGGGGCAAATTCAGATCCCGATTGGCGATGTTGTGCATGTTGTACTGCAGAGTGCCAGTACATGCACAATGTGATTTATAAACAGCAATTATTGCAGTTAAGTCCATAGGATTAATCCTCCCATCATGCATTATTGCGGTTAAGTCCATAGGATTAATCCTCCCATCATGCTTTGCATGACGAGGGGTGGTGGCCACTCACGTGGCTGCCTGTGATCCGGCACTGGAGGTGGCCGCGCGAGGGTTGGTGGATCACCACGCAGATGCTGTGTGACATCCGCTTCCCGTGGGCTCGCCAAGGAGAAGGCGGTACAGAAAAAAATGCGGACTCCCATCTGCACGCAATCGGTTTTGCTCTGGGTGCTTCCACGTATAAACGCTCATTCTTAGGCACGGAACATCTAAATATATAGAGGACCACAGAGCTTGCGAAATCATTGGCAGTGCCGGCTCAACATCTGGCCACTACTTTCCCCCCTTGTCCGTGGTTTCTACTCGCGCCTCCGAGTCGTCCTCTCTCTCTCTCCGAGAGCGAGCGATTGCTGTGGGGTGCTGCCACTTTACAAGTTGACGTGATCACGATTAACACGATGTGTCCCCGTACTGTGCATGTGTAATACACACACGCATCGTCTTAGACCACCAAACTGGTCATTTGTGGCCATACAGTTTGTTCTATGATGTGGTAGTTGCGTTCTTGAAGAACACCGCGTTGTGGAAAAATCACGTTATAACGAATAATGTATAAAACAAGGTGAAGCACAGTCCGCAATAACACGTGAGATGCGTGTGTGATGCTACGCCGAGGCATCTGTCACAACCGCTTATTCCTACTCACGCGACGTAGATCTGTTAACTCAATCGCGTTATATCCAGTTCGCATCGGCATTATAAAAGTGTTCCCTAATACATTCATCGCGTTATATACAATCGGCATCATGAAAACTGCACGCGTTACAGCAGAGCCGACTGTTGTGTCACACGGCGGACGTGGACTGTACCCGCTTCCCTCCTGTCCGATGCGGTTTGTCATCGTTGGCACAGAGCAGTGGCCATCGGACCGGTTCAACACACTACATCGCCTTTCAACCACAGCCCCACGTATTGGGGCCGTGACCCCTATCTTTGAGCGGCCACTGACAGAAGGCGGCTTCGACTTGGTCCATATCAGGGGTCGGCAACCACTATAACAAGAAGGGCCATTTTTTTTCTCCGAATTTGGTCAAAAACTCTTATTTCGAGAGGCGCAATCCACGTGGTGTATATGACACGGAGGTCCTTAATCGATAACTGTCACGAGGCAGTTCCTTCAAGAGCCGCACGCGGCTCCGGAGCCGCAGCTTGCCGACCCTTGGTCTATAGTAATCCGTGTGCAGCCCGTTGTCCATCCACTGCTGGATGAACGACTGCCCACGCCGCGTCGCCCGTGGTGGAGGTGTGGCCGTACTTCACTCCATAGGCTTCGCTGGGCCTGCTCTGCTACTGGGGCATGCTCTCCGTGCAGTGCCCTCTCTACGCCTCTCTCTCTCCGCCCCACTCGCTCTGTCCGCTCCTCGCTCTGTCCATCATCGCGTTTCTCATCTGACAGCTTCCGCCCCGTCCAGTGTTTGATGACCGTGTTTGTGACACAAAAAGCAAAGGCCCCCCATGTAGCCTGGACATACTATTGGGGCAGGTGCTGTTAGCGAGTAGCGCCTATGAAAGCTGGCACGGCACAGTGCTGATGTTTAATGCACACGGCACCAGATCTCATTCAAGGGTCTCTGTGTTCGTATTGCAGCGCGCTAACCACTGCGCCACCAGCTCCCCACACACGCGCGTGTTTTATGCAAAGTTCATGCAAGCTCTTGCTGCCGCTGTATGGTTTTACTGCTGCCATCCGCAAGATTGCGCAATATTTTTACTCGTGAGTGACAATGCTGTGGGTGTGTGCTTTTTAAAAATATATATAAAGTTTATACACTATGCTAAAGTCAGTTATGCTGTTGAGGATGCTGCCACTGTGGTGGTGTAACGTTGAGCAGCGTCACTGGACTCGCAATCCACAGGTCGCCGGCTCGACTCCACCTCCCGGTGCAGCAGTTGAGAGACTCCGCTGCCCACGCAGCAGCAGCGGCAGGATCCATGGGGGGGTCACCACAGCAGGGCGCGTGTGGTGGGGTAACGTGTGGGTGCTTCCGCCTCTTCCAAGATAGCTGACCAGCATGGAAGAGTAGGCCAAATACCCCCCCCCCCCAGAGGTGACTCTAGACTCGAGAGAGCTTCCACTAGGTGAGGCACTTCACACAAGCAGTGATGCGAGCGAGCAATTGCACGGCTGCGCCTTTGCCTGTTTTACCTAGCAACGTTTTGATGTTATTCACCGTGCTGGTTTTACACTTATATTTTTGGGACTTTTGTGCCGTGCTATTTTACCTTAAACTGTATTCGTAGTTTATATTCGTAGTTTATATTCGTAGTTTACATCTGTTGGGACATTGTAATTGGTGCAAAAGGAGATGGTGGGAGTGTGATTGTGGTTGGTGTGTTTACACAAAGCGTAAATAACAAGCGGATCTAAAGTTGGTGTATAGATTGAGCAGTGGTGCAGACCACCAAAGACACAGACTGTTGGGGCAAGTGCTGTGATCGACCACCTATGAAGGCCGGCACGGCACACGAGGCTTGTGCAGTCGGTACCACGCCCGGCCCCCCTTTGCCTCCCGAGTTGCGGTGTCTACACAGCGCACCAGGTACTCCTTTGACAAAGTCGACCTAGGGGAGGCCTAGGACCGGGCTCGGATATCCGTCGCTGATGCTGGTGGTGAGCCGGAATCGGGTCGCCGAGTTCCTATCGCAGTGCCCTAACCGCTGTGCCACCGCTCCCCGCACACGCGCCTGTTGGCAACACGTGTGCACGCGTGTGTTTCATGCAGTGCACGCGTGTTTGTTCATGCAGTTCACGCGTGTGTTTCATG